TGGCTGCAATTTTGATATGGAAAAGGAGAACGGATAATGGTGAACGGAAAACAGAAAAAAAGTTTTGGTTAGTTCGATTTCATCGATTTTTCGAAAGCAATTTTGTTACTTGTTACGGTGGGCGGGGCAAGTTCGTAGCGCGTAGCGCAAAGCAGCATTTTATTTTAAAAAGAAAGAGCTTCGCGGTTTCTGGTGGTAAAGGGACGCAATGTTTTTCTATCGTGCTCCTGCGGACCACTATGGAACTTTCGCAAGATGGATGTAATTTTATTGTGCATACACCCTGTATGAACTTCAAAGTTTCAGCAAACTTTGTTAAATATTCCAATTTATACAAATAATAGCGTCGTCGAATGATATTTTTTCAAATATCTCGGGCGCCCTGTGTAATTCACGAAACCTGAAACTCTCTCTCGACACAGTTTACGATACCGTTCAAATCAAATTAACGGATTTTTAGCAGTCTTTCATTTATCCCCAATAATTTACCAACAAAAACGGAAATTTTTAGGATGTTCTTGATATCTTTGCCCATAAACGACACACCCTGCATATGATTCAATGTTCGAAATAGAGGTTATAGCCCTGGAACTCCCACGTTTCCTGGTATTTGATTTTTTTCAATGGAGTAAGTGGTTTTCAAGAAAATACTTGTCTTCTGAAACCATACAGTACGTGCTAATAGTAAATGACGTCATCGCGTCTAGATTGGGCGCCAGAATCGGCGATTTTCATATGGATTTTTTCAAAATATCTCGAACAGCGCATGTAATAGAGCAAAACCGTAAATACAAAAATTGTTACTCTTGATACGGCCTATAACACTGAACGGATTTACGGTTAATAATTTATTTCCAAAAAGTACAATTTTCACGGTCTTTTAGATTTTGTCCACAATTGAAAAACCCTGTATATAATCGAAAAAATGACTAAAATAAAAGTCATAGCCCCGGAAGTCCCACATTTTCTGGCTCTAAAATTTTGCCGATCAGTTAAATAGTTTTTGAGAAAATCATGTTTTTCTGGAAGACAAAATAATCAAAAAAAAAATTTCAAAATTATTTAATAAATATTTGGTGATATTTTATTACGCTCAATTTCTACTGTACGGATTTTTACTTCCTTGTCAAATTTGAAGTCGACTACATATTTCAGACAGCTATGGCGTTTTAGAATATAGCACAGAATATTCGGAACATCCTGTACAATATGTGAAAACCTTAAATACAAAAGTTTGCAAGTGCAGTTTTTAAATTTTTAAAAATACTTCCCGGCCCCCCAGTCCCCCCAAAATACTTGCCAACCCCCCCAGCCCCCCCAGTTTCAATAGGCTTCGTTACGGAGCTAAGCTCTATACATCTGTCAAATTTTAAATGGATGGCTTCAAATTTCGGACACTTATCGTGTTTCATAGCAATGTCTCTACAGTCGAAAACATAAAAAAAAAAGATGGACGCCGTGGTTTCAGCGGACCCATTTTTTACTGGTTTGTGTAGCTAGTGCACAGCTTAAAAGGAACAAAATTTGAAGGCCGCGTTGTAAACCGCTCAAAATATATAGCCAATTAATGCCAGGTCTACAGAGAAACGGAGAACGGATAACGGAGAACAAAAAAAGTTTTTTTTTTCGAAGCTGATCATTTCTGTACCAATGTCCCCAAGGACCTACCGTTGCTGAGATATAAGTTTCGTTGCCAAGCGCGTATACAAGCTGAAATCACTATAGAAATGACCAAATCCACAAAAAAGGAGAAAAAGGCGGCCTATCTGAAGTGGCTGAATACAAAACATTACTGGGAAGCAAAGAAAAATGCGAGGAAATTGATACAAAAGGAGGATGAGCTCTGGGATCGTCTCAGGAAATTAACACGTATATTGGAGGAAGGAAAAACATGGAAGCTTGGAAATTTATTAAATGTGTAAGAAGATCACACAAGGAAAATACGCATATGCAACTCATCGAAAGACAACCATTCCTGAATGATTCATTTACGGAATATATTGAAATACGTGGTGAACAAGTTGAAATCACTATAGAAATGACCAAATCCACAATAAAGAGTCTAAAAAATGAAAACGCAGCATGTCCTGAAGGCACTTACCTTAAGCTGCTCAAAAATGGAAGTGAAACATTATATACTGTGCTAACGTATATCTTCAACTTGTGCTTCAACCCAATTTACAAAAAAGTCAATAAGATGCATTGTGAGAATTACACAGGACTGTCAGTGACTAGTAGATGAGTAGGTTATATGGACGACTATTACGAAACTTGATTCAGGCAGAAATTAATGAAAAACAAGAAGAAGAAAAAGAAGAAAGTAGATTTAGTGCTGTAAGGTCTTGTAACGACAACTTATTCTGCCTAAAGCAAATCAATGAGAAGAAAATGATCACAGAGTTACACACATAACATTTGTTCAAAAAGCTTACGATACAATACCGACAACAAGACATTGGAAAATCATAAAGGACACAAACATCATTGTTGAACTACAGGATTTGTATAATAGAACAACATCAAGTAATTCCCAGTAAATAATGCTGTATATCTCCAACACGGTTTGATATCGATGTGCCTCCAGCCGTAAAGCAATGGAAAAGAAAAATACACGGAATGGGGATTGAACTTAATAACTTTTATTTATACACCTTGCACATCCAGTATATTTTTGAAAATTACCAAAATAAAGGTTCGTCATAGCACTGGATTTCGCGAATCTTTTTAGACAAATTATTTTTTTCTTAGGCGATGTTTTATTTTATTTTTTAATGTTCTTTGCTTGCCAAATTTGAAGTGGACAGCTTCAAATTACGATCACTTATCGTGTTTCATACCAACGTCCAAAAAACTCAGAACTCAAACCGTACAAAAGTTATTCAAAAGACGAGATTCAGTTATTCGACAACAAAACGGAAATTTTGAACATTTAAAAAAGGGAAGAATTAAAATTAATTTAAATCTAAACAAATTTAATGGTTGAAACGGTGTGGCGGAGATCCCACCTCGAACACATGCTGCGAAAATAATAATTTTTACAAACGCGTCGATTAAGTATAGTAGCACCACCGATCTACGGAACTTATTAGTGGCCAAATGAAGACAAATACGGACTCGTTACCGATGGAATGAAATGCTGCATGCTAAGGACAAAGATACTAAAAAAAACTGAAAACTGACTTATACCGCAAGGAGTGAGAAAAATATTTTTGTTCATGTAATATTTTGCTATAATATTACACCACTAAAAGTACTAGAGTATCTAGAGTATCTCCACTTAACGACATCTGTACATATACATAATAATATAGTTCTTCTTGCTTCCACTTAGACTGCAACAGGTATAGATCAATACAAGACAGTTGCAATCACGATTGTATTACTTGGGAGTAAGAGAGACAGATTCGGTTGAACTTGGCATTTATTAATTTAATTAGCACGCCTATACTCAAAGATGGGTTCATATGCTTTCTGTGTAACAATGGATCAGGGTGTTCCTTAATGATATGCGAATATTTAAATAGGTGAACCTGCATAATAATCATAATTAATTAAATAAACTATCGTCATAAAACTCTGCCATACAATAAAAATTAACACAAAACTAACCAAAAAAAAAACGGAAAATAAAAAAATATATCATGCCGTATAAAATATAATTTGCCTAGAGTAAATATACTTAAACTATATTTAGTTTGCATTTACGAATCAGAGCTAAAATTTTAACTGCTACTACCAGAAAATGCTCAAGTGGTCGCATAGTCTGTCTCAATCTTCACAGTGCTGACCGAAATTATGTAAGTTACCTGCCGACGGCAAACTTTGTTTATTTAGGTGGTATTTAGAGTACTTAATTTTTATAATGTGCAGTACTGAATGTTACCTCTATCAATTAGTATGTTACTCACTATATTTTTTATGAAATTTATAACATTGGTAATTAAAGTAGGAGTAACATTTTCTACTCTGACCTTTGATTTTACTTGATTCCACAAATGCTCCATGGAGTTAAATACACAATTATTCAGCTAATTTATCGGGTACATACTGTTTTTTAATTGCATATGAATTTCGGACTTCCGAAGTGTGTACTTTTTTTGTTACTGAATTCGAAATAAATATCATTTTCTAACAAATATTCCTGGATTTCAGTTTTTGAACTCGATGAGGTAGATTGCGTTATCTATGATAATAACGATGTTGTTGGGAATATTTTTTAAAAGATTGTTTTGAAACCAATTTTCAAAAAATTCGGCACTTTTATCCTTTTAACAATACAAGCAAATAATATTTATATTGGTTTCATCTTCTTCTAGCTTCTTTTTTAGTTTATCCAAGGTATAGGTCCAAGGTTATTAGGTCGTGATCATTATTGTCTATACGGCGAGTTTCAAAATAACTACATTTATTTTTTATTTATTTAACGAATTAAAGTTTATTAAAATGCATTAAGCCATGAAGTTATCCGCATTTATTTTCGAAAATGTTGAAGCATTCCCGAAAAATGGTGTGTCCTTTTAGAAATAGAGAAAAAAGCTTCTAACGAATAAGACTTGAATCTGTTTCAGCAAAGTAAACACTGTTTTAAAACTGAAACCAGTTATAGGAGAAGCCCTTTTTAGCGGCTCCGAAAATGTTGGAGCATTCCCCACCACTTTCCTTTTAAAGATAGAGCAAAAAGCATCTAACAAAAATAATTTGAATTTATCTAAGCTTTAAGTATTATTAATATAAGAAAATTTTGCAGAAAACGGGTTTTAAAATTTAAGATGCCAAATGCGCCCTCTCTTGGCCATACTACAACCACAATACCGTACCTCGTTGCCCTAACTTGATATATATCTTGATCTCGTGGAAATAGCGCGAATACATTTACCACTTCGGTTCTCCGTATCTTGAGATGTGAGAGCCGAATTTCCCTCGAACACTAGTGGTGGTTTACATTTTTAATAAGTTCGATAGATCGACGGTCATACTATACCGAATATGCGCACACCTACCCAATTGGCATCAAGTCCGGCCAATGTTCTCAGTGGGACTAGGACATTTCGTACGACAGGAATTCCGCGAAACATCTGCTGCGGACGAAGTAATTCGCCCTGCAAGTAAATGAAGCAGCTTGTTTTATAAAATACTCAGTGATCAAGGAAGATAATATCCAACGAGACCTCTGGCGAAAAAAGATTTGCACTGATGTCGATGGATGTCATCTAAGAAACATTAAAAAGCAATTTTTCACAGGCTATTGTAATATTATTTTTACTTCACCTGATGGATTGCTGACTTTTGGCCGCAATTATGAAAGTTGCTGACGGCAAACTCCCAAAACACTATACATCTTTTGTTTATTTATATATTTATAATCTTATTAAATTACAATGACATTAAATATATACAACAAATTCATATCTAGGGATATATACTTCGACCAGTAATACAGTGCTTTTACAACCGACCCCATAATTAACTTTGCCTACTATTTATTACCCCAAAGCCGCAACCCATTATAGAACATCCTGCCGAGCAGACCTTTACCCCTATCCATTCCAGCACCGTCCTAGGAATTTATCTATCTACACTAACAAGCGGGATTTAAATATATTTTCAATCTTTTTCGCTGAGCAATTCTTGAAACATGTACATAATAACATTAGTATAAAGTAACAATTTATTACGTGGTATTTCATTACATTTCTTCATAGTATCATTATTAATATACAAAATATTAAATAAAATAATAATAATAAATTATAAGTCAATTAAAAAATCGTCACTATCGCTACTGTGGTCACATACTTCAATGATCACTAATCGTGCTCAATAAATATTTTCTTCTTTTATTACGCATTTTTCAGAGTTTTGTACTGATATTTTAACTACCTCTTACCGAATTACGTTTATGGTACTATCAGTAAATTTTGGTGCAGTGTTATTATTTGTTCTTATATGCGCTTTCAACTCATCTCAATCGGGTTAAATACACAATAAAACGAGGGTAATCTCAAGATTTTATGTCCGTTTTGTTGTGCTATCGAATCGATTTTGTAGTCTTTATTAAAATGTTTAATTTTCGATAATGCCAGAAGTTTTTTTTCGTGTAGCTCTCTTCAAAATATAAATCATTTGCGTTCAGAAATTCTTTAATTTCTTCTTTATTTGAAGAAGCATTTGGAATTTTTCTAACTTGGGCTGAACGATACACAATAACAGTATTTGGCTATAGTTTTGGCAAACAGTTTATTTTCAAACCAGTCCTTAAATGTTTTCATGGTAAACCACACTTGAATCTTTTGGTAGACAAAAATAAGGCATCTTCCTTTTCAATCATTTGTGGACCCAGCATGAAGAATTATTGTGCGTTTTCCATGTGAAGGCGGCACGTCTAATACACACTTGTTACTGTTACCATAACATCTATTTTTTTACTGTATTTTACCAGGTTTCGTCTAAATACATTATTGGCCTATTTTAATATTTAATTTAATTTAATAAATATTTATCTGTATTCTTGAGACGTACGAAGAACTATGTAGAAGAGTACAGGTACTTACCCCTTTGAACTATCCAGTGAAAACAGCCTCGCAGGGTCAAAGCTCGAGAATCAGGTCATCAGAGTCAAATATCTCCGTAATATATATTTTTGGTCGAATTATACATAATTATACATAATTACATTGTTATTCTAAATGTCTGTGTTATTCTGTTTCACTATCAGAGTCTTCATTGAGATCAATTATAATAGAATTTATGTTATTCTGTATAGAAATGTAAAAGTCCTCAATTTTTATAAGGTGCTGTACTGAATTTTTCCAGCTCTCTATTGGTATGATTTACATTTTTTATTAAATTTGTAACACTTGGACTTAAAGTAGGAGTCACATTTTCGGCTTTGATCTTGGATTTTACTTTGTTACATAAATGCTATGCGGTTAAACACGCAATGATATGGAGGAACACGTAAAACAGGATGTCCAGCTGGTTCAACCAAATTATAGTTTTTTAATTTATTACTTTTTTGTTACTGAACTCAAAATAAATATCATTTTCAAACAAATATTCCTGGATTTCAGTTTTTGAACTTGATGAAGTCGGTGCCTTGCGTAGCGCCTGTGGCAGCTTACGTTATCCATGACAACAACGCTGTTATTGGAAATATTTTTTTGAAAGACTGTTCTGAAACCATTTTTCAAAAAGTTCGGCAATTGCATCCTCATAATAATCCAAGCTGAAATACTTAAAATTCTTTGCAGACAACAGCAAGCAGTGATGCGTTTTCCTTTATATATGCGTATGCTTTGGATACTTTTGGATATTTTTTGAAGGTAATTAAATCTCCCAGTGCGTGTGATAATTTATATTGGTTTTATATTCTTCTAGCTTCTTTTTCAGTTTATTAATTGTCCATAGGGTATTAACGCTATTAACAATATCTCTTATAGACGATATTGCCATTTTTGTACGTAGACAGGTTTCTTTTAAAGCTTGTTTAATAAGAGCTCTACTGATTTAAGTTTCACAAACGTTTTTCACAGCCTGTTTTGGTTAGTGATAAAGACACGGTGTTATCGAAACAATTGTCATGTCATAATATATAATTTCGTGAAAATCTGAAATTTTAGTTCTTATTTATTTTGATAAATCCGAGAATCTGGAACCAAACGTTCTTTTTCTTACAACGGTCAAATTTTTAAACAAACTTCGATGACAGCTCTCTAACAGTCTAACGTCCAACATTTTTCCATTATCAAAAGTCGTCGCGAATATATTTATGGAAAACTTTGAGAAGAAAGCCTTCGACACCTTTTATCTAAAACCAAAATTATGGAAACGCTATGTTGACATTTTTGTTATTTAGCATCATGGCCAAGAATCCTTTTATCCTTTTATCTTTGAATTATAAACTAATAGTATTTTCCAAACTTGGACATTCTTATCAATAGAAAACCAGACCTAACATTGGATCATTCTGTTTACAGAAAACCTACGCATACCTTAACCCATTATCACGTCACCATCTAGGCCCAAAAAACCATCGGTAATAAACTCTCTTCTTTACAGAGCTATAGACCTATCTCAACCCAAAATTAAAACACCTTACATTTGGCGATGTTAAACGTTCCATCAAAAAATACACTTTATCGCAAACTTCCAAAGACGATGAGTCTGAATGCGATCCCACACACAAAGGTTCTTAAGAAACATAATGTCAAAACTACTTGTCCAAAAATCTCTCAACATCTTCGATCCGACAAAGAACATAGCAGAGCCTTGGGACTACGACAAATAAACTCATAAAAATTAGAATTCGAGAATCTATAGAAATGTATAAGCAACCAAACAATCTTAATAGCGACTCAGGTCACCAATATGGGAATCAGTCATCCGAGACAGCAGCAGCAGACAGCAGATTAGAATGGGAGCCAGTTTTAGTTAAGCAAGCAATCCGGAATATTTTTAAATAGTGTATTTTTTCTAAAAAAATAAATAAGAACTAAAAGTTCAGATTTTCACGAAATTTAACTAACCAAAACTACCTGCTACTATATATACCGAAAAATGACAATAAAACCTTAATTAATGTTGTTGTGAGAATTTAAGTTTAAAAGTGGAGAGGTATTTAAATCTAGTTGGACGTTAAAACATTTAAATGTCTCATTTTGCTAATCTCTATGGCTTCCAATAAATTTAATTTTTTACTTTTTGTGGCTGTATGTAAAATATCAAAATTTTTGCGAAAAATGTGTTTTTCTGTGTTTAACGGTGTAGCATGATTAGAATCTAGACTATCGTTTTTAAACGCTCTTTTATGGATCTACCTGTTTGTCCAATATAAATTTTAGAACATGATCCGCATTTCAACATGTAGACACCTGATTTTTGAGATTTTGGACATTTCGTTTTATTGTTTTTTAAACATTTTCCTATTGTGTTGTTAGTTCTGAAAGCTATTTTTAAACCACATTTTGACAAATATTTTAAAACTTTTTCATTGGATTCTCCTATGTATGTAATTGTCTTAAATTGTTCGTGTTCTGTGTTCTGGATAAATAGAGTTTACTGTTGTCTGGAGTTGTTTATAATTTTATCAATAATGGACGGATTGTAGCCGTTGTTCAGTGCAATTTGTTTAATAATATTGAGTTCTTTGTTGAGAGTGGCGTATTAAGAAGTCTGTGTATAAAAGAGTGAAATGCAGCCATTTTGTTTGTATAAGGGTGATTTGAGCTGTTATGTATGACTGTGTCCGTGTGTGAAGGTTTATGATAAATGGAAAAATCTAATTTGTTTTGCGTTTTCGTTAAAGTTAAGTCTAAAAAATTAGAGTTATCCTGGTCAATCTCGATAGTGAATTTTATACGATTATGTAATGAGTTAATGTAATTTAAAAAAGAATTCAATTTTCTTTCCTTTCCAAGAAAGCAAGCAAAGACATCATCCACGTATCTATGCCACCATAGAAAACTTTTACTTAAAGGATGTTCTAGTATGATATTTTCCAAATTATCCATAAAAATCTCGGCTAACAAAAGACTAAGTGGGTTTCCCATAATCAAACCTTCCTTAGGGATGTAAATCTGTCCATTAAATTCAAAATAATTTTGGTCTAAAGATACTATTAAGCAATCTAATAAATCTTGTTTTATCAATAGGTTAACCTGTTTCCGAGTTAGGGTGAAATCTACTAAATCTATCACATCCATAGGTGGAATACGGGAAATAAGTTTTTTACATCAAAAGGCAATAGCGTTGCGTTAGAAGGGATTTTGATATCTTTAATTTTGTTGATTATTTCAAAAGAAATCTTGTCCTAAATTTATATTGGACAAACAGGTAGATCCTTCATTAGCGAACATAAAAGAGCTTTTAGAAACAATAGTCTAGATTCTAATTATGCACAAAACATACAAAACACACAAAAACACAACAAAATGAGACATTCAAATGTATTGCTTAACAATCAATTAGATTTAAATACTTCTCGATTATTAAACTTAAATTCTCACAACAACATTAATTAAGGCTTTATAGTCATTTTTCGGTATATATAGCAGCAGGTAGTTTGTAAATAATACATTTGATAAAGACACGGTGTTGTCGAAACAATTGTCTGAACTTCTAGTCCTTTTTTTTTGAGATACTGTTTTTTTTTTCATTGGAAAATAGTTTGTCAATTATGTCGCTGGTGTTAGTTCATTCATAGATAAACAAACGGAGGTTAATTAACTATATTTAAGCATCGATTATTTCTGCGGATTCTAGGGCACCTAAAGCGTAGAAACTCAAACTGCGTGCCAAATAGTAAATTGGGTTAGCACACTCTCCTACTTTCTATAGAAGCGGCAACGTCGCATCTTAAATCCAAACACTCCGTGGAGTTGCAAAAACTTACGTTGCGTTGTTTGATTCTTTCGCCGAAAAAATTCATCAAATCGGACGTGGGATCTTGCATCAACTTGCTGGGGTCGATCTCCTTTTTGGCCTGTTTCGCCGCCCTGATCACGTTCGCTTCGTTCACGGTGAAATTGTCCACGTACAGTGGACACCTGGTGGGTGGCGCGAAATCCGATAAAGAATGATCGAAAAAAATGACGACCTATACTCACAACTGATGTTGATCGCCGCCCAGACCGTTAAAATGTTTGTAGTCTTTGACCGGCTGACGGCAGATGTAGCACATGCTCGCGCCGCACGAGCACGTCATTTTGTTGCATCCCTCCTCCTTTATGAACTTGTTTTTGCACTTCCAGCACTCCCTGTGACAAAATACGTATTGGAAGTTTTAAAAGTGCGTCCAACAACACACGCCACGCGAAAATAGGAAATAACAATAAAAATTTCAAAAATAATAATTTATTATTTTTTATTTTTTAAAGCGGTACGCCCGCCGCTGGTTTATTTAAAAAACTTGTGGTACACTAAATAATGCCTCTTGATAAATATTACATGTGTGTCAAACTTCATTAAAACATCTAAAGTGGTATTAAAGATACAGTCGAAGTTCTATATAGCGAAATTGAAGGGACTGCGTTTTTTTTTGTATATAAAGCGTTTTCGTTATAACGAGTTATAGACACTTAAAAAATAACAATACCCATATGTGTTCTGTAATATTTAATTATTTTATATACATATTTTAACATCTACTTATAATGGGTCATTTTCTTTTGAATTTTTTTAGTATCCCAATACGCATTTCGTACTTTGGCTTGTATTTTCACTGTTTCTTCGAGAGGGGCATCTTCCCCAGCCGCTTAACTGGATATAGGGCTTGTTGAATGGTTGGTGGTGGTCCCAGATCAACTTCATCTTCTTCTTCCTTTTGGTACTCTTCCTCATCTTTTCTTGCTTGTGGTAATATGGCTTCCTCTGTCAAGTCTGCAAATCTTGCAACTTGTCACTTGAAAACGTAATTGTTGTTTGAAACTGCTTTATCCACTCACTTAGTGGCTGATCATCTTCCAAGTCCTGTTCGCATTCTGTCTCGGTAATAAGTCCTACATGATGATAGGAATGTTGAATTGTTTCTGCTGTCACCTGTTTCCAAATTCCTAATAAACTTGACTGCATTTAGCATATTAATGGAAAATTTGTCTTCAGACTCGATCATTACCATTAAAATGTTTTTCTCTTAAGACTTTTTATTACGCTCTGGTCCATCTGCTGTAATAAATACACTTGTTGTTTAGGCAGAAAAAATGCCATTTCAATATTCCGTAGATTTGGAATATGGGGATGTGAAGGGCAGGTATCTAAGAGAAGTAATATTTTCCTCCTGTTTAGTTCTGCATCTCATTTCCGTATCTCCTCTTCAAAAATTTGCGATGTCGTCCATGCAGACTTGTTTGCCTTGTAAGTGACCGGTAAATGCTTGATGTTCTTAAAACACCGTGGGTTAGTTGATTTTCCAATCACTACTAGCTTTTTTTTTTTCATTCATTGTGTAAAAAATACCAGCAATAAAAATGTGGTCAGCAGGGTATTTTTATGCTAGTCAAATTAGAACTGATTGAAACAATGGTGTGCTTTTATACATACCGATAAAGGCATTAACATAATCGCTTATTACGATAAAAACACTTAGGACGACCAGGTTCTCGGTAATTAGATTATTAGGGTAAGGAATTCTGAGATGGTAAGAGACTCTATTAATTACAAGTATAGATAGTGAGAAATTCGTTATACAGAATGGATTAATACATAGCGTTGTATGGAGACCTAATAGTACAACAAATTTTGTTGTACTATTAGCTAGAGTTGCGCTATAGGGAGTTTTCACTGTATTAAAAAAATGTATTTTATTTTTGAAAACTTTACCACCCTGTACATCAAAAGTTAAGATGTTTAGGACATATGTTCAACTGACATTTTGTTTTAATTAATTATTGCCATTCAATTATAAAACAGCCTGTATAATATGTATAACATGTTGTGTGAAATAAATATAGAATACTAAAGACGATGTTTTAGTAAGACGTTCTTTGATATTTTGATTTTTGAAACAATAGTTATTGACTTTCCTACATCCAATATTAGATGAAATAGTTCAAACTCTGTCAAAAAAATCCCACAACTCATATATATTTGAAATCAGCAGAAAAAAATAAATCGATTGACACGCTCAAACATTTTTTTTTAAGTGTCGACAGGTCAAAATTTGACAGATAAAATTTTTATTTTATATTTTTGATTGCAGAATCGGAAGATTAAGAAAAAATGCTCCAATTTTATTAAGTCCAACTTCATCGTACGATCATTTATTATAATGGGAATGCAAATGCAAATGTACAGGTCAATAATCGATATTTTTTACGCACCTTATCAAAGCCTCGGTCATTTTGTTCTCTATATAAGTTCGAGCGCGGACCGCCTCATCCTTTTCCACCTCCTCGCATCGCAAAGGTATGTGGGACATCTCCTTGCACATCCTGCACGATTCCTTCATACAGTCGGGATTGAAACACCGAAACAGACGGTCGTCAGGCGCCGGTATCGAAGCGAAATCGCAAAAGGGGCACGTTTCCAGGTCTTCCATGCCGACCGCTTGTACCTCGGCCACCGCTTTCTTTTGGGCGATTTTCGAAAATACCTAGAAAAATTGCATCTCGTGTTTTGGGCTAAAACAGGCCAATAATTCCGTTTTATATGGTTTCGAAGATATTTTTAATGTATGTTACACACAATGTATCCAAATAGTGTGTCATTTATTACTTTTTTTAGAAAAAAAGGTAAAATACAAAAGTTGTAGACAAGGTTAGAAGAAAAAATTTAATAATTATTTTCAAAATATTCATCATAAATATGCGGGAAACCAAAATTACTTACTCATTATAAAATAGTGTGTCATTTATTAGTTGTTTTAGGAAAAAATATTAAATACAAAGGTTGTAGACAAGGCTAAAAGAAACAATTTAATAATTATTTTCAAAATATTCATCATAAATATGTGGGAAACCAAAATTATATTTTTTTAGATGAAACACCTGTAAAGTATACTTCCATTAATTACTCATATTAACGCTCTTTCAATTTCATTAAGGTTTCCCTATACTTCAACTAAAATTATATTTTTGTTTAAATCTAAATTATTTCCGCATTACATTTGCATTAAAGATGTAACGAATCCTACTGTCTGAGAAAAATATACTTTATTCGTCTCTGCAGACCTTTAACGTTCATTTAATATTTATTTTGTTCTCAATCTTTTGTGATATTTTCATACGGTTTGAAAAATTCCAGTATTTTGTTCGTAGAAATGTGCAAAACTCAAAAAAAGATAGGTATAGGAAATGCTTCATAAAATTGAAAGGGCATTAATAAACGTTTAGAACTAACTTCAAGGCAAGTATTGAATAAATGACTGTACTTTTTGGGCACAATAAAACTACAACTGTCAGAAACGGCGTCAAAAATATAGGGCATTTCTCATTGCTGCCTCGGACTGACATTCTATTAAGAAAACTGTCAATCTATTAGAGAATGATGCAATAATTCAAAAAAGCAACAGCTCAAGTATGGTGTACCCCAAGATTCAGTATTTGGCCCGATTCTTTTTCTTACCAGTTCTATATGCCGTTGACACAACATTTTATCAAATATCGCTTTTGACTAGCACAACACAGAAAATATTTTATCTTAATGGTCCGTGGCTAGCTGACTGTCACTGAATAATTCAAAAAAAGTCTCGGTGTGCAAGGATGTGCGAAAAGGGATTCAGGATTTATTTGCATTCACCAGAAAGACCAGCAAGTGGAAAAAAGTTTAAATATAAGCCAAATCGGGAAAAGAATTCTTCGAATTAATTGTTTGAAAACTATAAAAATGTTTTGGAAAGTTGAAGTTTCGCTATGCAAAATATTATGCATTAGCAACTTCTCCTTCTAGTGTTCGTTGCTTTTGACATGTCTTAGGTATCCGATTTGCCATTACATTACAAAAAATCATTCAAAATAAATTTCAAGTAAACTTTGAATATGAAACAATTGAATTTTTGTGCACTTCAAATTTATAAATTCCACCAAAACAAAAATTATGTTTCAATGTATTAAGCAGTAGTTCAAATGATCATGGTTTTCAATCTTAATTTTATATTCCCATGTCGTACTGAATGCTTTTCCGTCATTTAGGGAATATTTCAAATCACGGGTTTTAATTTAATTAATTTAATAAATTATATTGCATTAAAACCTTCATTTTGCACTATTTTTATTGTAATTTCATTCATTTGCAGTTATCTTTGTCAATAAGGAAGTAAATTTTGATTTTAGTGTTTCCGGAGAGTTTTATCTAAACCAAAAAAAAAATTACGTTGGAAGGCAAGGCGTTCTGCAAAGTTTGGAGTGAAAAATCGCCGCCGCAAGTCGCGAAACAATCGAATTGCAACTTCCCGTCGGCGAACGCGATCTCCGCCCCTTTTCGAACGCACTCGCGACAGAACCGGCACCCGGAAGAGCACTCTAAGACGTCCTTGGGCATGACCTGCTCGTTGTAGCAGCACGCGCAAGTCTCGAACAAGCCCAGTTCTTTGGCGTTCTGCCGTTCCAGTTCGTCGCGAATCTGGAAAGAAATTCGTAAAGAAACACACCTCATATACGTCACAAAACCGCTAAAATATGAGTCATCGATATACGAGGTTAGCGCCAAAATTTCCCGGCCTGACATAGATGCAGCTCCAGTATCATGATAAAACTTTGTCTTTTTTTAAATATATATCTTAGTAGGCTGCGAAAAAAAAATTGAAGTCTTGGGTCAAATAGTTTTTTATTGACAGCATTTTAAACAAGACGTGTCAGAAAAAATGTCGCAAATAACGCAAATTGAGTATAGAGCAGTCATAAAGTTTTTGACAAAAGGAGGGTTAGCGCCTAAAATTATTAAAGAAAGGCTGGATGGTGTGTACGGCCAATGTTCTCCTTCGTATTCTATAGTGAAAGAATGGGCAAAACGTTTTTCAATGGGGCAGGAGTCCCTTGAAGATGATTCAAGAACTGGTCGACCAGTGGAGGTCATAACGGAAGATATTGTTGCGATTGTGGAAGAGGTAGTATTGAATGATCGACGTTTCAAGGTCGAGGAAATCTCAGAAATTACTAAGCTTTCTGATGCAAGTGTTCGTCGAATCCTGCATGATCATTTAGGTATGCATAAGGTTAGTGCAAGATAGTTCCTAAAAACCTTTCGGCTATTCAAAAACAAAGCCGTGTCGAGTGTGCGCGGTCTTTTTTGGAACTCTGTGGGTCGGAACCGAAGCTCGTGATAGAAACTATTGTGACAGGAGATGAATCGTGGTTCTCTATTATGACCCTGTATCGAAAAAAGAATCAATGGAGTGGCGTCTTAAGGGTGAAGCACCTCCAAGAAAATTGAGAGTCTGCCAGTCAACAAAAAAGGTGATGGCCACGATCTTTTGAGATTGTGAAGGAATTCTTTTAATAGATTTTAAAGAAACTAACACCACTGTCAATGATAAATATTACGCAAGATTATTAGATAAATTGCGAGACTGTATACATGTAAAACGTCGAGGAAAACTGACCAGAGGCGTGCGTCTTTTGCACGATAATGCACCTGCCCATACTGTTGGTGTTGCACAAGCAGCCATTTTAGAGTGTGGGTTCCAACAGATAGATAGATAGATAGATCATCCTCCCTATAGTCCAGATATGGCCCCCAGCGACTATTATTTGTTTGGATATTTGAAAAAGTACTTACGTGGACTGCGGTTTAACGACGAAGTTGAGTTAAAAAAGGCTGTTTTAGCTCATTTTGCAGACAAATCAAAAGAATATTTTATTAAAGGGATTGAGTTGTTAATAAAGATATGTAATAACTGTATTGAAGTTAAGGGGGATTGATTATATTAAAAAATAATAAAAAATTGTTACTCTACTTTGTTTCTTTCATATTCAGGCCGCGAAATGTTGGCGCTGCCCTCGTATCTAATATAGTGCATTTATTGCTTTGACGTTTTAAGTATTTTACAGTGCCTTAACAGCAGACCTTCGCAGGACCGTGGTAAAACCCATCCCAACAGATGTTTATTCCGGATTATTTGTAGAAACGTAATATTTATTTGAAACGTAAATGAACCGTCTTAACTTCGAACATCAGGTGATATATATCGTTCTTAAGTAAGTACGTATTTATATACCTGATTCTCAAGCTTCGACCCTGCGAGGCTGTTGTCACTGAATAGTACAGTAAGTACCTGTACTATATTTATCTTACAGGCCAGTTTGAAAATAATCATTTTTTAAGATTACAGATTATATACGCGATAAATAAAAGTACGTCAGAAGAATACAGATAAATATTTATTAGAATCTTGCAATTCAACATTTTTTAAAGGTTCCTGTTTTTAACACTTTAAAATGTGGAGACCGAGGAATGAAGCAGATGTTCCCCTGTTAGAAGAAAACAGGGAAAACAACGCAGAATTGAAGACGAAGTGGTGATGGTAGTCGAGCCAAATGACAATTTAAAAGACGAACTACCTCAGAAAAAAAAACAGGTCCATTTGTTTTAAGATGCTAAACAAATTGTTTTGAATGTTTACAATTTTATAAGAAATTCAAAAGGGGAAGTGGGAGCAGCAGTAAAAACAAGTGACATGGCCGAAATTCCGAAGTCAACTGTAAGAAAAATTGTTGCAAATGGGATAGTCAAGAGGAAAGTGAGAGAATATGCTGGTACTTCGCGAGTTTTTTAGGAGCCACAGGCAGATCTAATTAGGAGTATAATCTACGACGCGTATAAAGTGAATAGAGTTTTAATCGTAGAAGAACTGCATAAAAAAGTACTGACAGGCTTAAACATTAGTTGTGCCGAAGAGTCGTTGCATACTTTTTTGAAGAAAATGGATTTTCAGTTCCAAACAATTAATAAAAGTCAAGTGCTAATGGAATCTCAAAAAAAATCGCAATGGAGAGTAGACTATTTAAATGCAATTGAAAAATTTCGACACTCACGATAAATTAAAAAAAGGATGATGTGATAACAGTAACAAGCGTGCACTAGACGTGCCGCCTTCACATGGGAAATGCATAATAATTCTTCATGCTGGGTCCAAAAATGGTTGGGTGGAGGATGCCTTCTGATAAAAACGTCAAAGATTCAAGTGAGGATTACCATGAAAACATGATCGCGGAAATATTTGAAGACTGGTTTGCAAATAAAATGTTATTGTGTTGGATAATGCCTCGTATCATTCGGCTAAAATTTAAAAAATTCCAATCACTTCTTCAAATGAAGAAGAAATTAAAGAATTTCTGTACGAAAATAATTTATACTTTGAAGAGAACACGAAAAAAAAAATTTCTGGAATTATTAAAAACAAAACATTTGAATAAAGACTACAAAATCGATTCGATAGTACAACAAAACGGATATAAAATCTTGAGAGTACGATTGAGATGATTTGGTCTGAGTTGAAAGCGCATATAAGACGAAATAATACTGCACCAAAATTTAGTTATAGTACCATGAACGTAAATCGGCAAGCGGTAGCTAAAATAGCAGTAGAAAGCTGGTAATTGTGATGAACGAGTAATCAAAGAAAAAAATAGATATCGAGAACTATTACTGACGGAGTTGGATCATTGAACTAGCTGACGACAGTAGCAATAGTGATGATTTTATAAGTGACTATTATTATATTTAATATGATGTACATGAATAATAGAATTATGTAGAAATGTAATGAAATAGAACGTAATAAATTATTACTTTGTAATAATTTTTTTATGCACCGCGGGTTCAATTTATTTTGATAACATTTTAATTGCCTGTAACTTTTTTGTTTTTAGAGACATCAAGGAAAACGAAAAAAAGAAATTTAGGGTTAGCAGCCAAATTTTTTTCCAAGTGACGTATAAAACAAAACACTATCAATTTTTCCCTCATATAAGCCTACATCATATTTTTTTAATGGAATATATGTGTTTATTAGAATATCTTATTCCGATTACAATGATGTAACAGACTTTATATTTTAGTACACTCGTTTTTGATAAATGCGAAAAATAGGAAATTTTGGAAATTTCTATATAATTTCTAAAAGTGCCTTGACTGACAAATAAAAATATTGATGGTTGAATTATTGTCCAAGTCAATATTGTTAAAATGGTTTGTCGCGAATTTAGCACCAGTGTGCTTCAAGTATACTTTCTGAATAATTAAAATACAACCGCAGCTCGTCGTCAGTATATTAGACTTTTTCCAGAGCGCCGAGCTCCTTGAAAACAGATATTTCCAAGGCTGGCAAAGAAATTTGCAGAAAACGGTAACGTATTAAATGTTAAAAAGATATGCCGGAATCATAATGTTTTAAATGAAGAAAATAAGGCAAACATATTAGAATTCTATGAAACACATCCAGTTTCCTCTATTACTAGAATGCATGAAGAGACAGGTATTTGTCGGGGATCAATCCACTCAGTTTTGAAAGAATATAAATTATAATGCATTTAAATTTCGTAAAACCAAAAACTAAGTGCAGAACAATGTTGAAGAAGGATGCAGTTTTGTTTGGATTTTTTTAACGGACATTATGAGAATAATTTTTTGAAAAACATTTTATGGACTGATGAAAGTTCGTTTACTACAAAAATGGGTTGTAATAGACAAAATACGCGATATTGGTCTTTAAATAATAATCCTAGACAAATACACGAAATAAAAACCCAGGGGTACCAATCAGATGGGCATATTTTGGGTACGATATTTATAGATTACAGGTTAACTGGAGATCATTATATGCAACTCTTCCACTTAAAAAATGTATGATGTACGCTTATATGACAGAAAATTGATAGTGATTTGTTTTATACATCACTTGGAAAAAAAGTTGGCTACTTACTAACTCTAGATTTTGTTTTTTTTATTTACCTTGTTATCTCTAAAAACAAATAAGTTACAGCCAATTAAAATGTTTTCAAGATAAATTGAACGCACGGTACATGTTTCAAGAATTCTTCAGCGAAAAAGATCGAAAACCTTGTTTGTTTGTGTAGGTAGATAAATTTCTAGGACGGTCCTGGAATGGTAACGGGTAAGGGTCTGCCGGGCAGCGTGTTCTATAAGTGGCTGCGGTTTTGGAGTAATAAAAAGTAGGCACAGTTAATCACTGCACTATATTTCTGGTGGAAGTATAACCGAAACTTCTTCACGGAAAACGCAAATGTAAATTGATCGAGAACAATGTCTACCTTTTTGTTTTCCAAAAATGCCACTATTTCGTCCTTGTGAGTGAAATAGGCCAACTCCTGCAGAAGCGGGATATTCTGAATTTGCGTTACCGGTATGGGCGTGGGCCGCCTCTCACACTTGTTCACGTATGCACTTTGTACTCTCGCATCCACACGATTCAGATGTTCGAGTACCCGTATAATGGCGAAAATATTCTTCTGTCCCTCCTGAACGACGATTTGTTTGATGACTTTAAGAGCGAGGCGCTTGTACCTGTTGCGCATGTACGCGAGGACGTAGAACTGATCGCGTACGTCCACCATCGTGGAACGCCTCTTTGGATCCTCGAAATAAGCCACCGGATCTTTGAATAATCGAACAAAGTTCTCTATATTGAATTCGGTAGTGTATTGCTTTTGCTGCGCCGATATCTGCTGCTTCCTGCCAAAAAAACAATACGAATAGAGAACGAACGTTTTAAAATTCTTATATTTCTGTTATTTGGCCTCATGGTTAAGAATCGCTCCAAAACTTTCTTAGCCAATTCAACTCAACCATTGAAGTTCGATGGACGAAAACTGAAACTCTATCTCTCGGCACAGTTTACGATACTGTTGAAATCAAATTATCCTATCTTTAATAGTTTTCCATTTATCGCCAATAATTTACCCACAAAAACGGAAAATTTTTGGATCTTTCAGATTTTTTGAATATAATATACGAGGTTGGCGCCAAAATTTCCCGGCCTAACATAGATACAGCTCCGGTATAACGATAAAACTTTGTCTTCTTTTAAATGTATATCTTAGTAGGTTGCGAAAAAAAAAATTGGAGTCTTACGTCAAATAGTTTTTTATTGACAGCATTTTAAACAAGACGTGTCAGAAAAAATGTCGCAAATAACGCAAATTGAGTATAGAGCAGTCATAAAGTTTTTGACAAAAGGAGGGTTAGCGCCTAAAATTATTAAAGAAAGGCTGGATGGTGTGTACGGCCAATGTTCTCCTTCGTATTCTATAGTGAAAGAATGGGCAAAACGTTTTCGAATGGGGCAGGAGACCCTTGAAGATGATTCAAGTGCTCGTCGACGAGTGGAGGTCATAACGGAAGATATTGTTGCGATTGTAGAAGAGGTAGTATCGATTGATCGACCTTTAAGGGTCAAGGAAAACTCAGAAATTACTAAGCTTTCTGATACAAGTGTTCGTCGATTCCTGCATGATCATTTAGGTATGCATAAGGTTAGTGCAAGATAGTTCCTAAAAACCTTTCGGCTATTCAAAAACAAAGCCGTGTCCAGTGTGCGCGGTCTTTTTTGGAACTCTGTGGGTCGGAACCGAAGCCTGTGATAGAAACTATTGTGACGGGAGATGAAACTGTGGTTCTCTATTATGACCCTCTATCGAAAAAAGAATCAATGGAGTGGCGTAGTAAGGGTAAAGCACTTCCAAGAAAAATCAGAGTCTGCCAGTCAACAAAAAAGGTGATGGCCACGATCTTTTGTGAAGGAATTCTTATGATAGATTTTAAAGAAGAAACTAATACCACTGTCAATAGTAAATATTACGCAACATTGTTACATAAATTGCGAAACTGCATACGTGTAAAACGTCGAGGAAAATTGACCAGAGGCGTGCGTCTTTTGTACGATAATGCACCTGTCCATACTGCTGGTGTTGCACAAGATGCCATTTTAGAGTGTGGGTTCCAACAGATAGATCATTCTCACTATAGTCCAGATATGGCCCCCAGCGACTATTATTTGTTTGGATACTTGAGAAAGTACTTACGTGGACGGCGGTTTAACGACGAAGTTGAGTTAAAAGAGGCTGTTTTAGCTCATTTTGCAGACAAACCAAAACAATATATTTTTTAAAGGCTTTGAGTTGTTAATAAATAATAAATAATAAAAAATTGTTACTCTACTTTGTTTCATTCACACTCATATATAATGTATATAATTCAAGATCTCTCACGTTTCCTGGTACATGAATTTTTCCAATAGAGTAAACGGTTTTCGAGAAAAGACTTGTTTTCTGAAACCACGCGATACGTCGTAATAGTAAATGACGTCATGATCTTTTCAAATATCTCGAACATCGTATGTTATAGACGAAAACTGTAAATGCAAAAATTGTAGCCTTATAACACTGTTTGAACCGATTAGCCATATTTTTTACGAATTTTTAATTATGGCTAATAATTTAATTCCAAAAAGCACAATTTTCAGTTTCTTTTAGATTTTTGTCTATGATTGAAAAACTGTGTATACAATCGGAAAAAATGTCTAAAATAAAAGTTATGGCCCCGGATCTCCCGCATTTCCCGGTTCACAAATTTTGCCGATCGAATTAATAGTTTTGGAGGACATATTTTTTTCTGAAAGCTAAAATATCCCAAAAACATTTTTTCAAAATTTTTAAAAATATACTTCGCGATATTTACGTGAGTCCTTTTTCAACAGTTGGAAAACGGGTGTGAACTTCCACCTTTAGGCCAAATCTGAAGTCGATGGCTGCAAATTTAAGACACCTATTAATTTTTCAATATAGCACTTTATATCTTGAACACCCTGTACAAGTGGTGAAAAGTTTTGGCTGTTCATACGGGCTATATCGTCATGTAAAAGAAACTGACATCCTAAACACAGTCTTATTATAGCCATATAGTCGTTCTCAGGGGCTCATTTTTCAGTTTTTTTGAATATGCGGCGCACCCTGTACATGTTTTTTAAATTATCAAGAAGAATACTTTATGGAGCCGAATCCTCTGCGTCTTTTCGTTTAAGAATTTTTTTTATCCTGTAAACCGTTTTCGAAAAATATTTTTTTCTTGGACCAATGCAAACGCAATTTTTGAATTTTTTAAAAATACTTTCCGACCCCTGAGCCCCCCCAATTTCAATAGGTTCAGTTAGGTTGGTAAGCTATTTACGTATGAAAAATTATCAATTCGACAAATTCAAATTTCGGACACTTATCGTGTTTCATAGCGATATTCAAAAAACAGTCGAAAATCGAAAAAAAAGATGGCCGCCGAGGTTTGATAGCAGCCATTTTTAGATATCTTGTGTATCCCGTAAAATGTTAAAAAGGACGAAAATTTGAACCGTGTAGTTCAAACCGTTCGGCAGTTATTGGCGGAAAAGTCCCGGAGAAGGGAGAACGAGACAGACAAAAAAATTTGTTTTTTCGACGCTGTTTCGTCTGTACCCCTAAGTATAGTGAGGAGGATACTTTCGAAAAGAATCGATTTCATCGATTTTTCGAAAGTAATAATAATAGCACTTTATTTCCAACAGGTAACATGGCCAATGACAGGAAATATTAAATATAAATCATACGAGTCATACTTGTGCGGGCGATCTCAGTATGTTGTTGTAAATGGGATAAAATCAAAGAGTACAAATATAACTTCGGGGGTACCTCAAAGGCCGCATTTGGGTGCCTTATTGTTTGCTACTTTCCTATACGATGATGACTACGTATTGTTGCAGAGAGATTGGTCAATTTTTTAAGATTATTGTTGTCTGAACAGATTGTTTGATTGTTTAAGAAATGTCATTGTATTTTGTTTACAAAAAAAATTACCACAATTGCAAATTAAACTTAACTAGGATTCGGGGCTTCTTTTAAAGATGTACGTAGAAAACATTGTTCAAAAGACTTGTATTTATCCTACGGGCGACTAATGGGTTTAACAATAAAAAATCTTTAATAATACTTTTTTACAGTCTTGTCAGACGACCCGTGTTGAAATATGCGACGCCAGTCTTCAATCCAATGTATTTTAAACATATCGAACGGCTGGACAGTGTACAACGAAGAATTGTTAATGCTCTAAATTATAGATTTAATAAAGTTGAGTTAGCATTAAAAATATATTATCTCCTCTATTTAAAATTACAACATATTAATGAGCTATTCAATTCAGGGTTTGTGTGTAACATTGAAATGGAAATAGTCTGAAATACTCTGAATTATTGATAACGGTTTGTAGTCTTCTGGGTATTGACTCGACTAATTTTCTAGTATACTCCGAGGAAATAGTGTTCCATACTTCCATACTGCCATACTTCACGAGTTTTCAATCACATTTACGACTGGTGACTGGACTGGTGTTTTAATAACATTTGGGCAGTTACAGAGCAACCAACTGCGGACCTGAAATAATCATTGTCAGGATAGAACCGATAATTGTTACCCATATTTAATTTTTGGGCACTGCCAACCAGATGCTGTCTTAATATATCCAAATACACATATTGGTTCATATTCCCTCCAATGAAATGCGTATTACTTACTCCTGCAGATGACATTCAGCCCCACAACATCACTCCACTTCCACCGTGCTTTACCTTAGCTTTTAAATTTTTCAATTTTAATTCTTCCTTAGGCTTTCTCCATATTGATATTTTTCCATCTGATCCGAATAAATTTATTTTGGTCCCATCGGCAAATATTACTGAATTCCAGAAGTTCAAATCTTTATCGATACGCTCTCTAGCGAATGCCAATCTCACGAGTCTATTTCTTCTGCTAATGAAAGGCTTATTTCTGGCAGTTCGATAATGTGGTTGCACCTTTTTCCAAACTGTCTTTCCACCTCGACACACATTTTTGGAGCACTTTTTCTTTGATAATTTACAATTTATATTTAGTCCTTGACCTTGACCTTGACTTCTTTTCGACCCTTTTTTTTTTAATTTCAACGGCTGAGCCAATTTATAAAGAAAAGGTAACAATATAAATATAATATAAATAGCTACATAGCAACATGACAAAACAACAACTGAGATAACAAGCTTTTTAAATAACCGTATAAAACATATAAAACCACAAAAACAATAAGAAACAGTAAACAAAGAATATCACACTAGTTACAACTACATTCAACCAACTGTCTTAATTTTGTCTTAAATAGTCGAAGACCGCCAGCAAAGGGATCAAGAGAGCAACTGTTAAATAACCTCAAGGTTGGAGTTAAAGGAGAAAAATAGCCATAGTTGGCGTGGTGAAACGGAATACAAAACATTGGGGAGCTCTGACGTCTTTGATAGACGTTAAAATCAATGGACTGGAGGATAGCTGGACAGTTATATACAATGTTCAAAATTTTATAAAACGTCAAGATATTGGAGTAGGTTCTTCTAATTTCCAGACTATCTATCCCAAGAGGCTCACATACCAGAAAATAATTAATGTGAAAGTTATTATAGATACTTATACCAGCTCTATATGTTAGGGACCTCAGAAATTGAGTCTTGAATCTATCAATGTGACATCTGTAATGTGGAGACCACACTACTAATGCATACTTCAGTGTAGAACTAACTAAGGGGCAATAAAGGGTTTTAAAACAGTCGGATGAGAGCAGTGTACTATTACGGGTAATAAAAATGTCAATTTACACAAACACACACACGCACACACTCTATCGTTGTATTGTTAATAATATATCTATTTTGAAGAGTTTTAGTTAAGCGAGAAAAAGTAATACTAAAACACTTTCCAACATTTAGATCCAGACCACTATCTCTGCGCCGCAAACCGACATTATTAGGGTCGCTCTGAAGAAGCTGAGCGTCGATAAATGATTCAATTGTTTTGTAAAATTTAAAATCATCTGCAAAGGCAAGATATTCAGAATAAAGAACCACATCACTGAGATCTCTTATAAACAAATTAAGGAAAACTGAACCTATGTGTGAACCGTGAGGCACACCCGAGTGTACCACAATTTCGCTGGAATTATAATATAAAAATAATTTTTGGCTATGTCTCTTTGGGTATAGCCATTTCCGTGATGTGTAATAGTTAAATTTCTCTCTGAAATTGTAGACGGACGATCCATTTTACCGAACGAAACCGTGCAGTAATAAATAAAATAAGGTTTTTTGATAAGTTTACACCCCGATCATGATTTTTGCACCACTTAAGCTGTGAAGTTAACATTGGATATAATTTAATTAATTCTGTATTGTTAACTAAGTAAGGCATATTTAAGACAAAAAGTAATTCACGTTTTTTTGAGGGCTGTTTACTAACTTAATTTCAATAAGTTGTTTTTTTACCAAATAAATAAAGAGACATTCGGACCGGTTAGTTTTTGTTATAGCGACTGCATCAGTCACTGTACTTAATTTGAATGGCACTTTTTCATATTTCGACGTCCAAAATGTGAGTGACAATTTCATTCTCTATCAATTTCGTGCAAATTTTTCTAAAACATTCTAAAGTAGTCCAGTCGGTAGGCCGAAAATAACGGAATTTCGTCAACAAACACGTAGATCTTTCAGTGCCTCACACAAAAAGGTCGTTTACCTCAAATACTCCTTCCTGGTCGGATAAGATCCGTTCTCCACAGCATCGTTAATGAAATCTCTCAACACCTCTTTGCTGCTGGAGAAACTTTGGAGCATGGCTCTCAAATAGCTCGGATCGGCATCGGGCAACACCTCCTCCACCATTTTGAGTTGCTCCTCCGGATCGACTTGCGCGTCGGGCGACGGTTCTCGCGGGGGCCTCATTGGATACTGATCGGCGGAAAATATTAAATCGACTATTTCGCCTAACGCCTGATCGGTCCATATTTTTCCGTAACACAAAGAGCGGATGTAGCGCGGACAGGCGTTCGGGAATAACTCGACAACTTTCAGGAATAGTTTCTCGTCGACAACGAACGACTCTTCAGCTACGTTGGAAGCGGAAGGTGGGCCGCCGTTAACGATTTCCGATACGGTGGAATTAGATGGTAGAAACTCCAAAGGGGTATTCGAAACGAGTGGCTGGTTATTGATGACGGTGCTTGCAGGTTCACCAGTCACCTCTACGGGCAGCCTAAAAATTAAAGTATTTATTAAAATTGAAAGTTTAATCGTTATTAGACGACAAATTGTTTCCTAGGTACAAAAAAGGAAACAAAGAAGCATTAAGCAAACCGTCAGACACCAGCAACCAGCAGTCACACTTTACACCCAGTGCACAGATAGATAGATAGATAGATAGATTTTTATTTGACTAAATTACAATACATAGTATATTTACAGCACGTCTAAGCACAAAAGAGAAAAAACATAGAACTATATACTATACATACATACACATACATACATATACACATACGATTAGATAGTCTACAATAATAATAGGTATACCAACGTAATACATAACAAACACGAATAAAAATGAAAAAAAAGGAAGATACTGAACACAATCAAACAGTGGCCACTATCAAGAAAGCGGTAATCAGGTAATATCTTTCATCTTATCTACAGAGTAAAAACAATGCTCCAAAAACAAAGATTTTATTTTGACTTAAAATTTTTAAATAGAGGAATTTTGAAATAAATTGAAAAAGTTACAGTGCCACCAACATGTCACTCAGCTTGAAAATAAGTGTGAAAATCCAAGAAAACAGTTTTACACAATTAAGAAACAGAACCGGATTTACATATCTTTAGTGGCGAATGCACCATCAGATCTAATTTTCCGATATGAACGATTACTATGCATATTTACCATATAGCTACTACGGTAAAAACTTTCTAAACAGCGATATCCACACACTTGACTCCTTTTTGCGTGATGTAATGGGATCTAAACATATTTTTAGAAAATACTTATTGGCGATCTGTCAGCGGCCATATTGATTGTTGAATCATGCAAGGCTATTGGTTAAGACTTCGCCTTGTGAGATTTTAATATGTTAGTATTTTTGTCAATAAAGGCTATTGTTACTTTTATAAACACATTAAAAAGGGCCCAAGGTGCGATGCCTGCGGTATCTCTGATATAAACGGTTCTGACGGAAAATAACCGCAAATGTACTCACAATTCAGTTTTAGCATTGAATGTGCCAATTCCCTCCTCCTTGAGAGTATCGTCTAGCGATATAACCTCCGAAGTGATGGTGGCAGGTTTAAATGAGCCTTGAAGCTGAATGAAAAAACAAACAAATCGATTTTAATGAGCAGCATAATATTAATTTCTTACATTTACACTTTAAATACATTCCGCAATAGATAAGTGTAAGCTTTAATGCTTTCCACAATTGTTGGTAAGTTTTGGTAAGATCTAGTTGCCGAGATAGAAGAGGTCACTGCACAACCAAAGGGCACTAAAAAAAATTGCTTACCAAATGGACATTCCTTCTGATATTTTGCCTTATGTCTTGTAAAGAACCCTTAAGCTTTCGACGATCAGCAGCAATTGTGGGACGTTGTAGAGAATCATGCTGCAAGCAAGACCAGCAAAGTGGACACAATCGGCAATACAAAAGGCTTAAGGATAACAATTTTTCGGGCAGGTCATTTCATATTGGTGTACCATTTTGTTAACAAGAATTATTTTATACCTTAGCAACGGGTTAGATGATCTAGACATTGACTAGACTGCAATCAAGGTTCCTAATAGAATTAAAACATCTGGAAAAAGTAGACTTGTATTTTGTTGTATTTTGCACTTGTATTTTATCCTTTTTTCCTTGTCCTGCTGGACACTTCTTTTTTTATTTATATAAGACTAGAGTTTTAATTGTCCAATTGCAAGAAGATGTATTTATTTCGATACCTTTCATCTAGCAGCGGCTTCAATGGAGAAATCCAGTGTTTTTTTTGCACAGTTTTATACTAAGCCATTAGTGTCCAATGATAATTTTACAGAAGCTGTTCTAGAGATTATTCACTTATGTATGTTTCTAATGCATATAAATATGTGCTTTCACATCTTGGTTGGATTTTTTTAGGATATGTCAGGCTTGTACATTTACCTTTATCCTATATATTACTCTATTATTACTTTTGCAACTCCGCTATGCCAGTCCCAAGCCTGGGGTCCCATTGCACTTCTGGGAAAGGAGGAAGGGGAGGAGTAACAACCTCGTTAAAAAACCAGGGTTCATCTGGCCCGGATGATAGCACCCTGTAAGGGCTCCTGCCAGGATACGGCGAAGAAACTGCTGCCTTGTAGTGGGATGATGGTTCATCAAAGGCTAGAAGAAGACAAACTTGAGCACAAATCACCTGGTCCTTCTGGTAGGGGGTTGAGACATCGGGCCAACTCCCCGTTACTCGTAAAAACTTAAATCTGCTCAAAAACCCAGTCGACAGCCTTGGAAAGGACGGAAACCCTTACGACGATCAAAGCTACGGAAAATGATAACGAATTTTGGTACATTGAATGTCCAAGGAATCTCCAACAAAACAAACAAAGTAACTTATGAACTCCAGAGGCTAGAAATACAGGTGGCAGTGGTGCCGGAAACTAAGAAGAAAGGACAGGGCTCCGAAAATCTGGGACATTAAGATCATTTCTACATTGGCGTGGCCAAAGACAAGAGAGCACAACAACGCGTGTCTATTCTGGTTGCGAAAAAGTTGCGAAGTTTTATAATATCATGGGAAGTGTACGCATTCAACGACGATGCCCCAGTCAACAAAAAAGACGAGTTCTTCGAACAGCTGCATCAAGAAATATCAAACATTGGAACCTCAAGAGAAGCCATAATCTTTTTCGACCTAAACGGAAGAACCGGATCCAAACTAGGCGACAAAGTGGTAGGTAGATTTGGCGAGAATGTAACAAACGACAACGGCCGCAGATTAATCCAACTGTGCGAACAAAACGAACTTAGAATAACGATTGGATTCTTCCAGCACCCAATGATTCATAAGTATACATGGAAACAAAAGTCAAGAAATCTACGATCAATCATAGATTATACGATTGTCCAACAAACTAAATCGATGAGGACGTATGATGTTAGAATACTTAGAAATGCAACATGTGGCAGCGACCATAATTTACTCAAAGCTAATATCCTCTCACTACCAAAATCAAATAGAAAACAAAGACAAGAGACCCAACTAAAAGACCAGGATACTCAAATGACACAACTCCGATATAATCTTGAGAGCTTTGAGCAGGAAAGTATGAAAGAACCTATACAAAAAAAGACTTGACCAGAAACTCTAGCCTTTACTAACACTTTATTAACAATACAGAACATTACGAATTACGAATATATTAAACAATGCCTGAAAGCAGCCCAAGAAGCGATAGGATACTGCGAAGACCGGAAATCTAACAAACCCTATTGGTGGCACGAGGAAATTAAACAAGATATTGAAGATAAAAGACAAAAGTACCAACACTACCTATCAAGCTACCATAGTCTTCCAAGAAGCACAAACCCAAGTAAGAAGAAAAATAACCCAGAAGAAAAACGAATCATGGGGAAAAAATGCAACAAAATCAATACCTACCTGGGAGGAACAAAAAGTAGTGAAAGCTGGAAGCTTCTGAAATCTCTAAGCCAAAACACGAAGAGAGAGATAGTAACTCCCGTCACAACGAATAAATGGGATGAATATTTCCGTAACCTTTTAAAAGAGGACCGTTTTGCGTCACGCAGCTTATTGAGAAAATGACAGCCTTCAATAAGGAGGGAGATACATCTCCTGTTCGCGGATCTGAAGAAGGCATATGATAGCATACCGCTAACAAAACTTTGGGATGCATTATACCAGACAAACCTAAGCGTCAACATAATAAGATCAGTGAAAGAACTATATAGAAACTGCCACATTAAAGTCAAGGTCGGCCAAAAAATGTCCAATTGATTTACACCCAACAAGGGTGTTCTGCATCCCCACCCTGTTCAAAATATATCTTGAACAAACGTTAAGATTATGGAAACAAAAATGCAGAAATATGGGCATCCCCTTTAACAATGCAAACATATACACCCTAAGCTTCGCAGATGACCAAGTCATAATGGCGCAAGACTACGATGACGTAGAATACATGACGCGAAAACTGATCGAAGAATACAAGAAATGGAGGTTGGAAGTAAACTTACCAAAGACAAAGTATATGTGTATCGGTGGAGCACAACGCTACCTCCTGTTAGAGGACGGTCAGGCTATCAAAAGCTGCGAAACCTACAAATACCTGGGAATGTACATATCCAGCAGTGGGACGTTAGACTACGCCATCAAAGAACGAAATAATCAAGGCAGAAAGGAAATTACCATGCTGAACACCTTCTTGTGGGACCAAAATAATATAAAATACGATCAATAAAAGCATAGTCACATACAGCAGTGAAGTCTGGCCACTAAAAGAAAGAACCAGGCAACAGAAATGGACTTTTGGAGAAGAGCGGCAGGAAGGTCAAGAACCCAAAGAGTCCCAAACGAAGCAATTCGCACAACCATGAAGGTGGGCCACACGATTTCAGGCCAAGAATGGAAGAACAGCGACTGCCTAAACAAATACTCAGAGAAAGAGCTGGAGAGAGGGCATCAATAGTCAAATACAATGAACTGGACGAGGACCTATGGAAGGACAGAAATCGATGGAGATTGGGAATCGGACGACGCATATTTTATATATAGCATATATATATATATATATATATATATATATATATATATATATATATATATATATATATATATATATATATATATATATATATATATATATATATATATATATATATATATATATATATATATATATATATATATATATATATATATATATATATATATATATATATATATATATATATATATATATATATATATATATGTATATATATATATATATATATATATATATATATATATATATATATATATATATATATATATATATATATATATATATATATATATATATATATATATATATATATATATATATATATATATATATATATATGTATATATATATATATATATATATATATATATATATATATATATATATATATATATATATATATATATATGTATATATATATATATATATATATATATATATATATATATATATATATATATATATATATGTATATATATATATATATATATATATATATATATATATATGTGTGGCTCAAACGAACTTACCTGTAAAGTTTCAAAAATTGGCACAAAGATTTTATGGCCATATCTATCAGTCAGATGTATTAAATATTGCATTAAAATTTGCTCACCAAATTTATCACAGCTTGCTTAGTATGGCGAACACTGCCATCGGTTGGAGTGATCTTCTGGTTTGTACACTTCCTTACTTTGGTTTGTTCCAAATGTTTCCTCTTTCTCCTATCCAGTTCTGATTTGCCGCTAGACTGTAAAAGTAGCAGTCGAACGGTAGCATGTTTTCTTTCCCTTATAGGTCCTAAGTAATAAAGATTATCCAAGTTACATATTTTTATTTTCTGTTTTAATTCAAACATAGGATCGAGAGGAAAATAGGCTTATTTTTGTATAGAGTTGTATTGAAATTAGACCAATTAAAACCAGTTGAAGTAGTGTTTGCCTAATACTTTGTTTTAAAATTCAAATTAATTGCTTTTTAAATGAAAACAAAAAATATCTTGCTGTTATTGGTAAATTTTCTAAAATTTAATTAGTGTTGTAGCACCAACATAAAATCTCTTTTTACTCATTCTCTTATTAGCGCTGATTTTAAGCAAGGCAAAAAGTTATACCTAACGCATATAATGTATCCTTTATTACATCTTCGGAAATATTTTTTAACACCCGTTTGACACACTGAACATCTTGTTTTATTTGTTGTTCAAATTGAACATTAGCTCTGTCAATTGCATCTTTTTCATTGATGATCTGCATTAGAACTTGTTCGCATCGGAGAGGGTTATCCTTGGGTGGAGCATTTTTGAGTTTTATTGCAATTTCTTTTTCATCAATATCTGGAAGAACTCCCTGAAGATTTAGTTGATCATCCTCAAAAGACTGAAAAATAAAACCATGAAAACATCATTTTTTCATGTTAGTTTGAGAAGAATAAAAAAAAAGACTACTAATTCGATTACATATTGGAATTCCTAATATTACCATAATTGCAGCAAAATTTGTATAAAACCAACCAACTCCCGGCAAATCAAAATGAACGACTTTTTTGTTCCTTTTTTTTTATCAAATTTGACACCATTTTATCAAGATCACTCGCCCATGCTTTGCTCATAAGAATTATTCGGTCAAACACAATTAGTATTAAAAAAACACGCTGCAGTATAAGAATGACAGCATCGGCACCAAGAATTCTCATTTTTATTAAAAAAATATATTTTTTGGTAACAAACTTATTAATTTACACCTTGATGGTGAAAATTTAGAAAACTTTTCGTAAAATGTCAAATATAATATCCTGTTTGACTCAATTTGAACAGTGTGGCGATTCAGTTGCATTGAATTGACTGATCCAGAAGCTGGCCGTGTTTCCAAATGGCGTTGGCCAGTAGAAGTGAAAAAGACTTCTTTTGGGTGATGTTTGGAGGTTGTATTTATATTTGTCGTAGTTATAAAAGAATGTTCGTTTTCTTAAGTGAAAAATTAAAATGTATTGACATTTTGGACAGGACCAATATGTTGAAAAAGTTTTGTTCTATGGCGACATGTAGATTTTGAATTTTTATATGGATAATGGATATGGCAAGTCGCCGACTTGCTCTGCTATTATGTGGTGGATTGTTTTATTTGGATGAAGTGACATCTGAATTACTTCAGAAATAAAGGCCCCATTGTCATTGTTTTGAACAGTACACAATTGAAGCATTAAAAGTAATCCTGATCAATTACAGGTCTAACCCTGAACTTGGTTTTACATTATGCAGAATATCACTGATATAACGATTGATGAGATTTTAAAACCTAGCATGATCAAGTTAGAAGACGACGTGAAACCGAAAATCGTTCTAGAAACTGTAAATGGGCAAACAATTGATGATTCATCAGTTGTAGTTAAACAAGAAATAGAAGTAGAAGAAACAACCCTATTACATAATATAAAATCAGAAATTCTTGAAAATGAAGACACTGTAAAACAAGAGGAGGATTGCTCAGTTGAGTCAGATCAAAAAGGAATGGGATTGAGAGTATGCAGTTTTGCAAAAGAGAATGATAACCTTCAGAATTTGGGACAGCCTCCATCTTTAAGCAAAGAACCCATCGGTCCTAATTTATTTAACCAAAATGCTGCTCAAGGTACTTGTCTAGTTCTGCCAAACATCATGTTAGCCCCTAACAATTTCTATTATGTGGGTGCACCAAATTCATTGCCTCAGTTAGTTTTCACGCTTGGTATGATACCAAGCTTAGCTGTTCCTCTGGTTCAGATGCCAACTGTTGACCTAGGAGTCAATACGGTTGAACCCAATGTGCAAGAAAATAACCTGATCAATGAACCTAAATGTCAAAAAACAGTGACTGTACAAAATAAACCAAAGCAAGTCCCCCAGCATCGAAAAATTAGACCAAAAAGTGGAAAAAACCAAACCGGGGAACTTCGAGTTGAATTTGAGACTGCCGCAAAGATTGAAAAAGCGAGTGATTCTGTTCCAGTGGAAATTGATTCTTCGGACGTGGAAGTTGATTTAATTATAGACGAAATTAAAGACTCTGAATCGCACCCAAAATGCAGAAGTCCAAAGCTTGGTCCAAAGAGTAATGCAAAATTTAGGTAAGTGGATGTTTTGGAAGTTATGTCCCATAATAAGTGTACCCCTCGAGTTATGGGATCAGTTATATGATACACCACTATTTTCATAACATATAAAAGTTATATAGGTTCTAAAAATTTCCAATGGCAAAAGTTTGATTTTTTCTGATTTTGTTTGATTGCATCACTTTCTAAATTTGACTTTTACGGTCTGATCACATGGGCTACTAGAAAATGTCGACTTTCACAAATAAATTGTTTTAATTTATCGAATGCAATAAAACTACCGGTGCCCAATTGCGGAAAGGAAAAAATAAATCCGTGGTTTAATAAAATATAAAATTTTAATAAAACAAGTTTTACAGTATTGCTTATTAAGCAATATCTATCTACACTTATATATAATAATATGCATGTTTATATTGTTGTATATGCAGTTGTCGCTTCTAAGCAGTACTAGCTCTTACAGTGTAAACTAACCCTTTATATTAGTTTGTGCCACATGATTTTCATTATGGTATTTTCCTATCACTGTTTAATACTCATGACGCCATTAAAAAGATTATATCTCGTATATTTGTCAAAAAGTCCGGAGCAAACAGGAAGATTTTTAGCATTTAGTATTTTTTTATAGTTTAATTTTTTTTGGGCGTGAGTTTATATTTTTAATTAAAAAAGCAAGGAATCGTACTAGTATGCATACAATTGACACAATAATTAGTAATACAATAAATGATAAATGAAATTGAATTAAGTTAAATTGACGAAACATTCGAATTAAATGAACTCTGGTAATGTAATTAAGCCAAAATCTATGAAAGCACAATGCACACAAAGCTAAGCTAAAAATGTCGCATCCATACTTATTAACGATCTGTCAGCGGCCATGTTGATTTTAAATCTTTTTTAATAATTTCGTATAGTGACCTAATCAGAAGTGATCCGTATGTCTTAGCTATGTTGCTACTACCATAACCTTAAACTATTTAAAAATGACAAACATAATAGAATGAACTAGATAAAGATGTCATGCTATGACGTAACCACACAATTGCTCCGACTAGCATGGCTACCTAAGCTAATTTGGCGAACGATTCGCGATCTTTTTTAGGTGCGACATCTGTTGGTTCGAAACGAAATACAAGTGGGTATTCGACACGCACGCCTCCGAGCACACGACGTTCAAAACGGCGAAGGAATCGGCTCTGGTCCAGTACAAGTGTCCGAAATGTCCGAACTACCCGAAAATGTTCAAAACGTTAATCGAAGTATTTTTCCACGTCAAGAAGCGACACAAAAGCGCCCAGCTGTGCCGTTGCAGGGTTAGTTTGGCGAAACGGAGTTCCCACGTGTGCAAGCGATTATCTTCCAAGATGGTGATGCAGATGTCGCACAGGGGATGCCGGTTTTGCCGGAGAACCGTGAAAAACGGCCTGAAACGGCACATCCTGCTCATGCACAAGTACATGAAGTTGTACCTGTGCGGTCGGTGCAGTTTCGACACTCCGGACGAGCTGCTTTTTCTCCGGCACAAAGTCAGGCATGAGCTGAAGCTGCCGATGAAGTCGAAGTCGAGGCACCGGTGTCCCGTGTGCGAGAAGCAAATGAGGAACAGAGACGCGTTTAACAGGCACGTGATAGCCTGCAAAAGTTGCAAGTACATAGACTATTACCGGTGCACCAAGTGTTCGTTTTATTCAAACTCCAGGCTCAAGTTGCACTTTCACTTGGTGAATGAGCACTTTCAGGACAGAGTGTTGACCTGCAAGATCTGCATGTTTAAGACCAGGAGTATCAGGATTCTGTCGAGGCACGTACTGACACATTTCAGTCGGGAGCAAATGGTTAAGTGTGATAGGTGTTTCTTCCAAACTGAGCATCCGAAACTGCTCAAATTTCATTCGACGAATCACGGTGAATGCGACCCGAAACTAGCCGTCTGCAAGGTGTGCCCGTATCGTGCTCGAAATAGCGCTGAGTTGAAGGAACACGTCAAGGAAAAGCATTTTTTCCGTTGCAAAAGTTGCTCTTGGAGTACCAACAGCTGCAAGCTCTTTCGGAGGCACCGGTGCCAGTCCAAAAATATGCAGATGCCTAAAAGGTACAGGTGTAACTGTCGCTTCATCACGACTTCCAAAAGGGTGTTCCATAAACACGTCAGACATCACAAGAGGGCGGCCCATTGGAAGTGGCTCACCCGTTGGTCTTTTCATTGCAGGCTGTGCTCGTTTGTAACAAGTTGCCGGTTCAATTTCTACGAGCATATTTCCGGGCACGTGCTGGACAAGGCGCACTCCTGCCACCTCTGTAAATATAAGATTGTCAAGTTGATGAACGCGTAACTGTGTGTTCAGGAGTGGGATGTGTCGTATATCTCTTTTCCTGGCGCTGATTCTCGAGCACTACTTTCACGTGCACTTAATTTAAGGTTCGCCGAAAATTCGTTATTTTTCGTTATATCTCAGAACACACTAAAGTTGTTGGGGCCCATGTTTACTTAAACCAGTTATGTAAAATGACGGTCATTTGAATTTCATGTCATATGACCCTCATTTGCTAGTCATTTATGTCGCATATAGGTCGTTTGTGTCATTGAAGACTGTGGTGGATATTCATTCATAAAATAAGACATTTTTTATTTATAACACTTTTTAGACATACACTTGCGCATATTTTATGATGATAAAATATATAACTAAAATAACATAGCACAACAAACTCTCATCTATAACTGGCAAGAGCAGGGACATAAAAAACTTAAATTTTTAGTTTATAAAATAAGATATAGATATGATTATCACAATCTGGATCAGTCTCACTCCCAGTAATCTGTTGGCATTTACCGGAATCTTCTCCGGAACCTTCTTGCACTGGATAACCCGTCAACTGAAGACGAAACGGTTTTTCAACCTATCATTAAGTATGAACGTGTGTTAATTTTCCAGCACGCTTAATTCGCCTGTGTTTTGTATGGATAAACCCTTGGCTACGGAATGACCTTTCTGTTGTTGAAGAAATTGGTGGCATTATGAGTACAGCAATAGCTAGCTTCCTTCAACGAAGGTTTGTTTAGCTAGTTAGTTTTGGGTTTTTCATTGGAATCTTGACGAAATGTTTTTGATAACTTCATCAACATCAATATTTATATACTCGAGCACCCTATTTCAATTGGTGGCATTTGCTCTAACCACTTCTTGATGTTCTCAAAAATAACTAACAGTTTATTAATTTTAATCCAAAATAAATCATCATCAAGAATATTATGTCAATCGTTTCTATCCAAATCATGTGCTTCATGGCTTATTGCCAAAGTCTGCAGCACACATTTGTTTCCTTTGAAGCATTCAAGAGACAGACTACATATAGATGCCCATCCAGTGGTGGCAGGTAATTTCAGGGACTTTCTCTCATTAGTTTTGAGTTTCTCTTGCTGAATTCTCTGGAAAGATGCCCCTAGCACTGCTTTATTTTTTATTGTTTTTACTATCGACTTAGCAGAGGTTATCGTTATATTAACAGAGTTGAGTTCTCTAAGATTTTCGTAAGCAAATTCAGTACATGCTACATACAGCCATAATAAGAGACCGAAAACTCTAAATGTTTTTCCTGAAAGCAACAAATCTATTTGGAACTATAATTGACTTATCTTCTGGTTCATACATTCTTCCATAGGTCTATTTTCCCCTGTTGGAAATTGTTTATAAAATACAAGCTTTGGTGTAGTGACTATAAAATTAATAATATTTTCATTCAAACATCGGCAGTAAACTGAGCTTGAGTAATAAGTTACCAACGGATGCTTCTACCTCTATCCAATATTTGTGTTTCAAAATAACCCCCTGTTCCTGTTTTGAGATACTACCGCACCATTATTTAAGCGAAGAAAAATATACATTAGAGCAAGATTGAGTCATAGCGAGAAGTTGATGGTCTAGGTGTAGTAGTTTTTACTGGAAGTGCAGTAAAATCACTATCTTCACTATCTGAACCATTGGTCGAGGTACAAGGTACATTTGGGGTATCCAATGACTTGGATTTCTCTTTTCGGAGGTCATTTTTCACACTATCTGTGCATTTATAGCAGCTCATTTTCATTCAAAAGATGCATTTATTCGTAGTTAGTTTCCTTGTTCTGTCTTATGAAATATTTTTGCTGAAATGTTGAAAACAGCTCCATTATTTTTCATACTGATTATTATTTGTCTTATCTCTGGATTATATGAGTTTCTGATTCCTACAAGTTTCACACATTTTTTAACCCTAAGTTGAAAGTTGTTGATCCAAACCCTTTCATTCTTAGCAAAATTCTCTGATTTGTAATTTGTAAATTTACAGGAGAAAATTTACCTTTTATTGTACGGCAACTCTCAAGTGCAAAAGTTTGTTTAACAACACATGAGGTTATATTTTTAAATGACCGGTTGGTCACAATCCATTGACACAAGCATATGTCGACCGACTCACAAAACTGACTTAAATTAATATATTATTTTCATGTTTTGTATATCCGTGGACAAGTAACAGCATATTTCATATGCACTTAAATCTTGAATTTTATGTCAAATGTGACTTTTGCAACTCTAAATATTTTATCGATTTCTCCCACGGAAAACATTTTTTATATATTTGGGGTTGATTTTCTTCTACAAGAGGTTCTGCTTTACTGTTCCGTTTTTAAGATTTTAAAAATAAATGTAAGCAAAAAAATCGTTAAAAGTATTTTTTTCCATTTTTATAATGCTATCATATTTAGCATTTAGAGAGAGATTTAAAGCTAACGAAAAAAATTGATCGAGCACTACAGAAAGGTCACTATTTTAACTAGTTGGATACGAGAAAATTATAAAAATGTTTTTTTCAGTTGAAAAAAAACGATTTTGTCGTTTAAATTTTTAATGTTAGTTTTTAATTAGCCGGCATTTATTAATTTTTAAAATATCAACAAATATGTAATAAAGGCTTTCAATCGAAGAAATCGATCATTTTTCATATTTTGTTTTTATTTTTTTATATACTAAAAAAATTATGTATCCGGCGGAAATTTTTTTTTTCGGGGTTGGGGAAGGGAATTTTTTGAAATTTTTTTGTTACCACAAATTTGGAAATTCTGTGGGAAGTACTTTATTTTATACTTTTATTTTATATTTATTGCTTTATATATACAATTCAAGAATTTCCGATTTTATTATTTTTAATATTTAACGTCAGTATCAAATTATTAGTAGATATAAAATCCAAGCAGGTAGAAAAATTGGGAAATAGTCAAAAACAATGACGCGCATAACAAAAACAAGAATTTCCATCGCTATACCCGTCTCGATCAAATTTACCTCACCTAATCGACACTGACAGCATTTTAGTTTATATCATGTTGGCTATTTATAGTACTATCCTCGGAGTAGTTATACTCTAGAACCAGCGTGTCCAGTTTTGTGATCTCTTCGAGCAATATGAGAGCATTATTCAAAATATCGTTTTAGAATGTTTTTTTAACAGAATTTTGTAAATGTAACTCGTAAAGATAGCTTTTAGAGGTGCTAAAAGCTTTGGACCTAAATACACCTCTAAAGGCTTCTCTTAAAGCTGTTGTAGTTCTTAAAGTAGCAGATATGAACCTAAAACTGGTTCGGACAGTACTATTTTTAGTCGGTTTCGGTCAGATTGCAGTCCAAATCGTTTTTTCAGCCGCTGAAATGTCATGAAACCTACAGATAGCAACCCAAAACCTCACTTTTTGAGTAAAACAATAGCTCCAAGTTAGAAGAAAAGACACCTATTTTCGCAATGGATTCCAATCACAATGCGCTCTTCCGTAACTTATCGTAACGAAAGCCACTGATACCTCCAGATATCAACTTGAAACATCAGTGGATGCTTGCTGCCCCTCTGAGAAAGTGAGGTTTTCAGTTGATATCTGCTCGTTTGTTGACATTTTAGTTATAAATGGCGAAAAACCTGCTTTTAACTAGAACTTGATCGCAATTGGCTAAAACATGTGGAGTTTCAGTCACTTCTTGTGTGTTTTTTTTTTGTTACCGTTCGAACCAGAAAATGAGGTGTTCAAGTTGATATCTGCAGTGGTTATTTTGATAAGAATCTGACTGGAATCCACTAGAGACAAGCACCTTCCGCGACAGAAAGCGTGGTTCCAAGTTGATATACGCAAGTGTGATTAGTGATGAAAACTGCTGCTCTAAAATATAACCTGTTATTTAAAAGTAGTATTATTGATTGTTAAACTGCGTTATCTGAAAAAGAATATAAACAGAGGGCGGTTGTGGTTTTACCATATGTGTATATGTTGTCTGATTGTAATGCAAAATCGTTTCGGGCGTGCGAGAAGAAATGTCAGCGAGTATTGCGAGTTGGAATAATCTTACGTGTATTTCGGTGTTTCAATAAATGACGATTTTGTGCTTGTTTGCCGTTTTATTTCGAAGACCGCGTAGCAGTTCAGAAGTGGGATTAAGTATAACTATAGTGCCACCTGAATAATTCAGACTTGATAGTGCTTGATAATCCGGATCTGCGTTTTTAAACATATACTTTATTCAATTCCATAACTTCCTAAATTTATCCCGCGAATCACATATGCAGTGTTGGTTTAAGTACAATATAGGACGTCTGCAGTTTAATTGCATAACTATTTAGTTGTGGGTTTTAACAAGGTATACAGATATTAAAAAAATGCCTTCTAGAAGAAAACATTACGCTAACTATAAAACAAAAGTCCGATATGTTAGAAGGAAATAAAGCTAAAAAGGTATGGACATTTATTATGGACTTCTTTTAGATTTATTATCGGATGTGGCCGCGGTCCTACGAAAAGCTGAATGCTCAGGAATGGAAACACCTGCTTCTGGATCAAAGCTTGTCCTAATTTCCTACGAAATTTTATCTGTCAAAGCAAGACAGTTTTATACTGAAACCTACGAGAATGATAATGTTAGGGCTAGTAGAGGCAGCATTTCTAATTTCAGAAAAAGGCATGGTCTACGTGCTTTTAAAGTCTGTGGTGAATAATTGTCCAATGATCAAAGTGTCGTCTATCCCTTGTACAGAAAATCGGCTCTGTATTGGGACATGCTGGCTGAGGAGACCCTGGTTCGTTCTCAAAAGAAGATTGCACCAGATCGTAAAATGTGCAAAAAAGGTGTTACCTTCCTAGCATGTTGCAATGCTGATGGTTCACAGAAATTGAAAGGGAAATGCGAACTTGATTAGATAGTAGATTGGTTTCATCATTCTTTTATTCGTCAATTCAAAAGTCATTAAGAAGCTTCCATTTTGCCTTAAAGGGCCCTGCTAATTATCCATAACGCCTCTAGTCGTGTTACCAGCGAGGACTGACAACTTACAACCTTGTACAGCACTTTTGTGACGAAGTTATTTCAACGGAAAAGTGTTTTAACCCATATTTGAAACGCTGTATGTCTACTATTAGAAAAAGTCTTCGAGGAGGTCTTTGAGAAGTGTTGGCCTAATGTTATTTGCAAATACCAAACAAGACACTGAATAAGACGCTGAAAATCTGATTCCGATATAAATAATATAATAAACAAGTTTGAACATGCATGTATGGCAAAATGTTAGAAAAGAAGTTTAAGTTCGCGTTTTCGTTATCTATTTTATACAGGGTGTCCAAAATTAGACCGCAAACATTCCCTTTGGCAAAGTCGTTTTTGTCAAATTAAAATTTCGAGTGGGTTACCCTAATGCAGTTTGATATAGGAATAAGTCCTGCACTTGATAACGCTTAAAAAAAACGAGTTTAGGTTCTTGTTGACTGACGCTGCCTAATTTTACAAACCCTGTATTAAAGTAGACACCAAAAATTTCAAAAATATCAACTAACGACTCTTTTTTAACGTTTTGGCACATATGAGGAACAAATTTTCAGAAACTACAAAAATATTCATTTTCAAAGTTGGTTAAGCTGGAGGCGCAATTTTTTTTTCAACTTCAAATATTTAAAAAACGGTTAGAAGTGCTAGAAGTTCAGATTTTCACACAGAATCAATCGCCAATAATTTACCCACAAAAACGGAAATTTTTAGGATATTTCAGATTTTTTGCCCATAAACAACACAGCCTGTGTATGATACAATCATTGTTCGAAGTAGAGGTTATAGCCTTGGATTTTCCACGCATTTTCCAAGAATTTTTTGAAAATAGTAAATGGTTTTCGCGAAAATAAGTGCGATGTAATAATCAATGACGTCATCGCGTCTTGACAGCCCCCGATATAACGATTTCAATATGGATTTTTTCAAATATTCTGAGCAGCGTATATGATAGACGAAAACTGCAAATACAAAAATTATAGGTGTTGATGCGGCCTATGACACCGGTTGAACCAATTAGCCATATTTTTTACTATTTTTCATTTTCAATTTTCTAGGTCTTTTAGATTTTTGCCTATAATTTGAAAACCCTGTATATAATCGAAAAAAATGCCTGGAATAAATGTTATTGCACTGGATCTTCTGCGTCTGCCGGTTAAAGAATTTTGCCGATCGCGTGAACGGTTATGGAGGAAAATATATTTTTCTGGAAGCCAAAATTACCAAAAAAAAATTTTTCAAAAATTTTTAAAAATTACTTGGTAAAATTTGATTGCGCCCAATTTCTACCGTTTAACACGAACTTTTAGTTCTCTGCTAAATTTGAAGTTGATATCTGCAAATTTAGGACACTTAACACATTTCTCATTAAGCACGGAATATCGGGAACATCCTGTACAATGGGTGAAATGCAAAAGTTTTTGCTGTCTATGCGGGCTATATCGCAATATAAAAGTCTTTCAGTTATAACCAATTTTCAATAATAGGTGGACCCATTTTTCAGATTTTTTTGAATTTGCGGCGCACCCTGTATATTTTTGAAAAATTATCAAGAATAAAAGTTTATAGAGCCGTATCTGCTGCTTCTTCTGGTTCAAGAATTTCTTTGCTCACGGAAACAGTTTTTGAAAAATGATGTTTTTTGTAGGCCCTTGCACGGGCGATTTTTTATTTTTTTAGAATACTTCCCGACCCCCAGCCCCCCATTTTCAATAGCTTCCGTCACGAAGCAAAGCTGCATATATGTGTCGATTGCTTCAAATTTCGGGCACTTATCCTGTTTCACAGCAAGGTCCAAAAAACAGTCGAAAATCGCGAAAAAAAATGGATACCGGCATCGGATCAGGGCCATTTCTTATAAGCTTATGTGCCTCGTGGAGGGTTAAAAAGGAGTCAAATTTTAATTCTGTTCGGTTCGAAAGTTATTCAGGAAAAAATCAAAAGACGAGAACTGAGAACTGAGAACGACCCTCCAATCCCTCCAATTTCGATAGGTTCCGTTAGAAGACCAAGCGTTATTCGCCTGCCAAATTTGAAGCCGATAGCTTCAATTTTCGGACACTTATCGTGTTTCATAGCAAAGTCCAAAAAAGATGGACGCCAAGGCTGGAACGCAGCCATTTTTACATATCTTATGCACCTCGAGGACGGATAAAAAGGAGCAAAATTTGAAGCGTGTAGCTCAAACCGTTCGGCAGTTATAGTCGAAAAAAGATTTTTTTTTACAGTGATCATTTCTGTACCAACGGCGATCCCGTAGGACTTACCGTTACCGAGTTATGAAATTTTTATACGACCGCATACTTTCGAAAAATTCGATTTCACCGATTTTCGAAAGTAACAAGCAAGATAACGGCTGAACCGGAAGTGACAGGACGTGGAAAATATTTTAAAAGAGAAGTACACTTGCCATTTACGTTAGCCCTAAAGATTAACTATAAAAAAGAACTATTAATGAAAGGGTTGGGTGTATTTGACGTTATTTCATTTCTCGTTTCCTTTCATCGCTATTTGAAATAGAAAAGTTATTTTTATGTAAGTGCTTGGATCCGTGCGCTAGTGCCTAAGGGACACGATAACGTCGCGTTTCGAAAAAAATACTAGAAAACGTTTACGAGTATATTCGACTATAAACTACAAGTTAAATTTCACGCGTTTACATTTTCAAGCTATCGCGTAATTATTGCCAAAATTCGGCCCGAAAGGTCCGTACTTCGCGACCTCGGGATAGGAGAATTGTGGCCCTTGGTACTGCAACTGGCGGTACAGCTGCTGTATCTGGTATTGGTACCTCAACTGCTGCTGAATCAGCTGACCCTGTCGCTGGACCAAGACTTGCGCTCTCGGTGATTGTTGGTTGCCTACCCACTGGAGTTGTTGGTAAATCTCCTGCTGTTGCTGGAACACCTGCTGACTTTGCTGTTGCAATTCGTAGATTTGCCTGCAAACACACATTAATTTCCAAACTCACAGAGTGTCAAAATAGCGGAGTTTTTTTTTCGCCATCTTGCCATAAAAGAAATTATTATTCAACCACACGTTGCCGCTAGTAAACTCATGTAAAAAACACATTCATTTTTTAAAATAAATGAAATAAAATGTTTTAAACAAACTATACTAATATTTTTACTTAAATGGACATTACTACTATACCAGAAATAAAAAACTGTTGACTGCGACGGTATCTGCTTTCTTCTGATGAAGAAGCCAGTCAGCTCTCACTAATTAAGCTTGAGAATGATGAATATTTGTCACCAATGGAATACATAAATGACGCTGCAGATGAACAACAATGGAATGACAATGAAGATACAGAATTAAAGCATAGAAATGGGATTATTAAGAATGACAACGCAGTTCAAAGTTTGAAAACAGCGAACCAAAGAAACTGTATAATAAGCTGGGATTAAAACTTAATTTATTATTAGGAATATATATTTTTTTCTTTTTAAGGCAAAAATATTCTATGGTTTCGTTTAAACTTGGTATTATAAGTGTCACTGTTCGTGTAAATTTTAATTAGTAAAAAACATACACACATACTCCTATTATTAAAGCTCTTGCTTTCCATAATTATTTCTCTATTTTAATGACAATTAACAAATTAAAAGGTGAAAAATGCACATTTTTTTATTTTCGACAAACATTTCTATCGCTTCTCTCTTTAATATACATGCGCGCCCTTTTGATGTTTAAAAACAGTTTTTGAGGATTTATAACAAACTCCGAATTTTGGAGGCCCAATATCCAACCAATCGTTTAAAATCACGCGCATGTGCATTGATAAAGGATAAAATGAGTCTTAGACGTACATCTAGAAAATTTGGAGGACACCTCCTTTTTCTGCTAAGATGTTGAGGTAATAAATGAATAAATAAATTAAATTACGAGCGTAATTTCTCTCTACTTACTGCTGAATGTACTGGGGGTTGTACCGGCCGTAGCCCTGTTTCCAGGATCCGAAAAACCTGGCGAACGGAGACTGGCCGAAACCTTTGAACTGCTCGCTCTGGTACTGCCCGTACGGATAGAAACCTTTGTAGAAGTAGTTTCCGTAGAATGGAGCGTACTGCGGCGAGTACGGCCCTTGACCGTATCCGTTATATTGGTTGTATTGGCCACCGTAGTATCCGTAGACTTGCTGCTGGAACTGCTCCAACGCTTGGTACAAGTGCTCGGCTTGCTGGATTTGCTGGGCGACGTCGCCGAACGGACCTCCGGGTTGCTGCTGACGGAGCTGTCGTACTATCTGCTGGACCAGTTGCTGCAGTTCCTGCACGTACTGGCCCTGTTGTTCGTACCCCTGAGGGCCTACTTGGCTGTAAGGGTAGTAGTCGCCGTAGAAGGGCGCTGCTACGGCCAAGCCTACGAGTGCTAAGAAAAGTACGACTTTCACGGTGGGAACTAGTTCGCCTCAATGATGCTTGTTTCCCCGTGGGGGATCCTTTTTATATGGAAAGCGGATCACGCTTTGACAGATTACGAGGTGATTTTGGTTGCTTATTTGTGCGCTTTATCACCCGACGATATAGGTTTAATTTGTAGAGGTGAAATGTCACATTGGTTTTTTAAAAATATGAACTCGTAAAATTGCGAAAACGTCGAGGCGTTTTTTCAAAGCCATTTCATTTCTTTCACGTGGAATCTGCGCGTGGTTCGATTTTGTTGGATAGATCTATCAAAAATACGCTTAAACCTTGTTTTGTTTATTGCTTCAACCTAAAGTCACGGCCACCTGGGACTATTTAACAAAAGAGACAAAACAGAGAAGTAGTTTTAAAATATTCAATATTCAAATATAATATAATAATAATAAAACGACATTTATTTCTAGTTTTTTTTCAAAGAAACTTCCGGAGGCTACTGTAATACTAGTCGAACTTACATTACCGCAGTTTCTCTCTAAGCTCTGACGAAGCCAACAGTATGATTAGCGAAACGTTAGCTAGTCTGACTGAACAAGAATCGACGCAGGAGAAATCCAGAAGTTTTGTAAAAAATATGACTTTTATTTCATATAATAAAAAAAACAATTAGTTGTACCGTCGACTAGGTTAGAATTAGCTACTCTACTGAACAAGTGCGTGGCACAATAGTACACAACAAAATTAAAAAAGAAATTGACGGTGACGTCCTACGACAATTTAAATTTACCAGGTTATTAGGTATTGAATTATAACGTTTTACGGCGTTATACGAAAAACTACTCCCAAAAATGGCACCCCGATGATGAGGCATTATTAAAAATTCCCTAGTCCTAACATTCCTGCCATGTATTTCGCACATAGAAGTACAAAAATGCAGTTTTCTACGAGACCCCATGCTGTTTATAAAAATAAAGCGCACACATTGGATTTTAATTTTTTTTTACATCTACACTCACAAGACAAGGGATTCGCACAACTTTTTCCTTTACATTTAACCTAAAATATGTCTGTTACTGTATAATAATTATTAATGCCGTATATGCTTTTGAAATGTTCTTGAAATCTTAACTCGCTATCTTAACGAATGTCCAAGTTCTTTAACCAAGTTAAGCACTGTGCCATGAAATTAAACCAACAAAAACCATATACAAAATTGCCATAATTCAAATCTGATAAGGCAAGGGACTCGCATAAATTTTTTCCTTGACTTTTGACTTAAAATTTGTCTATTACTGTATTATATTTTTAATCCGTATATGCTTTTTAAATGTTCTTTAAATCTCAGCTCGCTATCTTGCCCAAGTTCTTAGTATTATTAACGAAGTTAAGCACTGTGGCATGAATTAAAATATTTAAAGAATTTTTGTTCCTATTCATCTTATTTTCATCACCAAAAAGTAATAGTGAAAATTTTTTTAGGGTTTAACTTAATATTATGGCTTTTCGAGAGTTCACTCGTCATTTATGTTTTGTTCCACCTACAAAAAATCGTCATCAAAACAATAATAAATTTGTGTGTGAAAGTTATTGATTGTAGAACGTCCGAAGTTTACATATTAAATAACAGAGGAGCTAAAATGGACCCCTGTGGCACCTGATGTTATTTGCTCTCTATTATTCAGATATGATGGCATACGAATAAATTATTCATTACAAAATCCATTATGTCTTTGCTTTGATATTAGAAGTTGATGATTGATTGTAACAAAAGCCCTCGAGAAATCTAACACTACTCATGCAATGCAAGCAATGCTACTCGTTCTTTTTAAAATCACATTCAACTTTATAGCGTTTCAAAATATGTTTTACAATTATTTTCAATTATTCAATTTCGAGCTGATCCTATTATATGTGCACCAAATTGTTTAATGCTCCAAAATACAATTTAAATTATAACAACAAAAAATGAAGTAAATGAACTTAAAATTATCACCTAACCCGTTCACTAAAAGATTATTGAGAAGTAATTTAGAAGCTTCTTATTCGTCATTATAAATCAAACAAGTTTAGAATACTACAAAATGTAATAATATACAGGGTGTTCCATTTGAAATAATCAAGTTAACAGCAACTTCGGGTTGACATTTCCTTGACCTACGTCTAACCGGTTTTGAAATATGTCCGGCTTAACCAACTTTGAACATGCATACTTTTGCAATTTGAACGCTCATATTTGGCAAAATTTTAAAAAAGAGGTTTAAGTTCGCGTTTAGGCTGCAAACATTCCCTTTTGCAAATTCGTTTTCGTCAAATTAAAAGTTCGAATGGGTAACCCTAATGCCATTTGATATAGGAATTAGTCCTGCACTTGATAACGCTTTAAAAAAAATGAGTTTAGGTTCTTATTGTGTGACGCTGCCTAATTTTACAAACCCTGTATTAAAGTAGACAACAAAAATTTGAAAAATGTCAACTAACAACTCTTTTTTAACGTTTTGGCACATATGAGGAATAAATTTTCAGAAACTACAAAAATATTCATTTTCAAAGTTGGTTAAGCTGGGGGCGCAGTTTTTTTTCAACTTGAAATATTTCAAAAACTGTTAGAAGCAGTAAAAGTTTAGAATTTCACACAGAATGTCAAAATGTAATAATATAAAGAGTGTTTAATTTGAAACAAGCAAGATGACGATTGAACCGGAAGTGACAGGACTTTGAAAATATCTTAAGAAGGAAGTACACTTGCCACATACCGTAACCTCAAAAATTAAAAGGCGTTTCTAAGCACTATTAATGAAAGGGTTGGGTGTTTTTTACGTTATTTCATCACTATTTGAAATAGAAAAGTTATTTTTATGAAGGTGCTTGGTTCCAAGCGACACGATAACCTCGCGTTTCGAAAAAAATACCAGAAAACTTTTACAAGTATATTCGACTACAAACTACAAGTTAAATTTCACGCATTTACATTTTCAAGCTATCCCGTAATTATTGCCAAAATTCGGCCCGAAAGGTCCGTACTTCGCGCCCTCGGGATAAGAGAATTGTGGCCCTTGGTACTGCAACTGGCGGTACAGCTGCTGGATCTGGTATTGGTAGCTCAACTGCTGCTGGATCAGCTGACCCTGTTGCTGGACCAAGGCTTGCCCTCTCGGTGATTGCTGGTTGCCTACCGACTGGAGTTGTTGGTAAACCTCCTGCTGTTGCTGGAACACTTGCTGACTTTGCTGTTGCAATTCGTAGATTTGCCTGCAAACACACATTAATTTCCAAACTCACAGAGTGTCAAAATAGCGGAGTTTTTTTTCGCCACCTTGCGATTATAAAAACTAGGTGATTTTTGAAAAAAAAAGTACTTTTATGGATTTTCTTACTTAAATGCTTAATGGCAGTTTTTGTCCTCCCTATGTTTCTCTATGAATCAATTAAATTGCTAACCAAGGCTTAGAGAAACCGATGGATATAGTTAGTGTATAGTGCCCATGAACATAAACCCAATTGGAAAATAAATTGCAAAGTAAACATTAACCTCAGTAGCAAATTATCGAGGCAAGTGGTTGAATAGAAATGTCTTGCATTGATTATATCACATTAAATTAAATTGAATAACACAAATAAATAGTAAAATTAATAAAATTACTTATAGGAACTGCTAGAAGGTGCTCAGAGCAATTAAATAATAGAGCAAGGCTTTCTGATATTTAGAAGTGAGATAGCGATTTGGAGGGGTTGATATAGGCTGAATGTCCAATTTTTTGTAGTCAATAGTTGCACTTCCGGTTTGAGCGAAAACGACAGTAACTTTGATTTTAACGAATTTTAAATGGCACACCCTATATTTTTTGCATTTTTGGATTCAGAAGATCATTGTACCTAGGATAGGATGGTTTTTCTCATCTCTCATGTTTTTTGTTTTTTTTTTTTAATTTTATTTAATTTTTGAAAATTGGGTCTAGGTGCTGTGGCCATCATAAATATTATTTGCCGGGGTCACCTGATCATGGGAAAAATTGAAAATGAAACTTTTCTCTACTTATCTAATGGCAAATAGCATTGAATGTAATGAACTATTAATTTCTTAAGATAACCTAGGTTTTTCAAAACCCTAGTGGGAAGAAAGGCCTTTTAAAACTGGTACTTTTTTGCAACATTTTGACACCAAAATTTTCAAAATCTGTTAAAAAATAAGCTCACAGTAAAGCAAATACATTTTTATAAAAACAAATTAATATTTAGGTGGCTTTGGTTCTATTCATTATTAACTGTCAAGTCAGTAAGATTATTGTTGAGTGTTCCAACTTTCTTGTGTCACCTGGTATATAATTACCCTGTTAGTGTCACTTTTCGTCTAAATTTTGCAATCAAAAACGGCATATTAGCAGAAAATTGATGTCCCATGGAAATTTTTTTGGCATATGGCCTTAAGACTTATTTCATTTCATAAACCTCTACGCTTTTCTTGATTATTTCTCTATTTTTGATGACAATTACCAACCAAATTGGAAAATATCCTGTAAATTGAACATTAAGCACGCATAAACATTTCTTATTTATAGAAACGTCAATTAAATAATAGAGTGAGATATCTGCTGTACAATAATCCTGGCCATACCAAATAACTTACAAAGAATACAAAACAAAGCCATAAAAGAAATTATTATTCAACCACACCTTGCCCCTAGTAAACGCATCTAAAAAACACATTCATTTTTTAAAAAAAGTGAAATAAAATGTTTTAAACAAACTATATTAATATTTTTACTACAAAAAGGGCCACTTAAATGGACATTACTGCAATACCAGAAATAAAAACTGTATCTGCTTTCTTCTGATGAAGAAGTCAGTCAGCTCTCACTAATTAGGCTTGAAAATGTTGAATATTTGTCTCCAATGGAATACATAAATCGCGCTGCAGATGAACAACATTGGAATGACAATGAAGATACAGAATTAAAGCACACAACTCGGATTAAAATGGCGAACCAAAGAAACTGTGTAATAAGCTGGGATTAAAACTTAATGTGTTATTAGGTATATATATATTTTTTTCTTTTCAAGGCAAAAACATTCTAAATTTCATAAACATGTTACGTTTAAACTTAGTATTATTAGTGTCACTGTTCGTGTAAATTTTAATTAGTAAAAAACATACACACATACTCCTATTATTAAAGCTCTTGCTTTCCATAATTATTTCCCTATTTTTAATGACAATTAGCAAATTAGAGGGTGAAAAATGCACATGTTTATTATTTTCGACAAACATTTCTATCGCTTCTCTTTTTAATATACATGCGCGCCCTTTTGATGTGTATAAACAGTTTCACAATATCCAACCAATCGTTTAAAATCACGCGCATGTGCATTGATAAAGGATAAAATGAGTCTTAGACGTACATCTAGAAAATCTGTGGTACACCCCCTTTTTCTGCTAAGATGTTGAGGTAATAAATAAATTAAATTACGATCGTAATTTCTCTCTACTCACTGCTGAATGTACTGGGGGTTGTACCGGCCGTAGCCCTGTTTCCAGTATCCGAAAAACCTGGCGAACGGAGACTGGCCGAAACCTTTGAACTGCTCGCTCTGGTACTGCCCGTACGGATAGAAACCTTTGTAGAAGTAGTTTCCGTAGAATGGAGCGTACTGCGGCGAGTACGGCCCTTGACCGTATCCGTTATATTGGTTGTATTGGCCACCGTAGTATCCGTAGACTTGCTGCTGGAACTGCTCCAACGCTTGGTACAAGTGCTCGGCTTGCTGGATTTGCTGGGCGACGTCGCCGAACGGACCTTCGGGTTGCTGCTGACGGAGTTGTCGTACGATCTGCTGGACCAGTTGCTGCAGTTCCTGCACGTATTGGCTCTGTTGTTCGTATCCCTGAGGGCCTACTTGACCGTAAGGGTAGTAGTCGCCGTAGAAGGGCGCTGCTACGGCGAAGCCTACGAGTGCTAAGAAAAGTACGACTTTCATGGTGGGAACTAGTTCGACTCAATGATGCCTGTTTCCCCGTGGGGGACCCTTTTTATACGTAAAACGAATCACGTTTTGACAGATTACGAGGTGACTTTGGTCGCTTGTTTGCGCGCTTTATCTCCCGACGATATAGGTTTAATTTGCCGAGGTGAAATGTCACACTGCACTCGTGAAATTGCGAAAACGCCGAGGCGTTTTTTCAAAGCGATTTCATTTTTTGAAATCTGACAATCCACTCCAACTCACTCACTAAACTCGAGATCTTGGTAACGGTAGGTCCTACGGGACCCCCATTGGTACACATGATCAGCGTCAAAAAAAAAATCTTTTTTTCGACTGCCGAACGGTTTGAGCTACACGCTTCAAATTTTGCTCCTTTTTATCCGTCCTCGAGGTGCATAAGATATGTAAAAATGGCTGCGTTCCAGCCTTGGCGTCCATCTTTTTTGGACTTTGCTATGAAACACGATAAGTGTCCGAAAATTGAAGCTATCGACTTCAAATTTGGCAGGCAAATAACGCTTGGTCTTCTAACGGAACCTATTGAAATTGGAGGGATTGGGGGGTCGGGAAGTATTTAAAAAAAAAGAATCGCGTTTGTAAGGTTCTAACAAAAAAATTCTTGAACGAGAAGACGCTCCGAAAAATTATTCATGATAATTTTTCAAAAAAACTGAAAAATGGGTAGCCCTAATAATGAAAAATGGCTATAACTAAAAGACAGTGTTTCAGATATTAGTTTCCTTTACATGACGATATAGCCCGTATAGATAGAAAATTTTTATATTTAAGGTTTTCACCTATTGTAGAGGGTGTTTCCAATTTTCCGTCCTATATAAGAACTCTGTTCAGTGTCCTTAATTGGCAGACTTCAAATTTAGCAGAGAAGTAAAAGTCCATGCCGACATTTAAACAGTGGAAATTGGTTGCAATAAAATTTTACCAAGTATTTTTTTAAATATTTTTGAAATTTTTTTTTGGTTATTTTGGCTCCTAGAAAAAGCTTTTCTCCATGGTTATTGATCGGATCGTCAAAATTCTTTAACCACAGCATACGCGGAAGATCCATTTATTTCAGGTTTGTAATATAGACAAAAATCTAAAAGGCCCAAAAAATTGTTCTTTTCCAGAATAAACTATTAACCGCGAGGCAAAAATCATAAATCATATGGCCAATCGGTTCAAACAGTGTCAAAGGGCGGATCAAGAGCTACAATTTTTGTATTTACATTTACATTTACATTCGTCTATCACACACGCTGCTCTAGATATTTGAAAAAATCCCATTGTTTCAGAAAAAACTTATTTTGTCGAAAACCATTTAATCTCTCGGTAAAATTTTTGGATCAGCAATCGTGGGCGATTAAGAGCTATAACCCCTAATTCAAATATTTTTCAAATTATATATAAGGTGTGCTGTTTTTGGACAAGAAAGGTCCAAAAGCCTGAAAATTTCCATTTTTGTGGGTAAATTATTGGCTGTAAATGAAAAACGTAAAAATATAAGATAATTTGTTTTAAGCAGTATCGTACACTGTGTCGAGAGCTACAATTTTCTGATTATACAGGGTGCGCGAGATATTTCAATAAAAATATTATGGTAAATCGCTATTACTGCCGTAATGTTTCATATTTACCAAAGTTTGCCGTGATTTTGAATTTCGGCGGTCATGAAAATATTCATTAGAGAATCCATAATATCTTAGCTTTGATATTAGAAGTTGATGATTGATTGTTTCGAAAACCGTCAAATCAAGTAGAACAATATTGTTTGCAATTCAAAATTCGTACATTTGATTATATATTCTTCTGAGAATCAGAAAGTCTGTTGGTATGCTCTGATTTTTTTATCATTTAAAACCTCTTAAAGTCATTAAACCTAAATTTACAATGGGTCCAGATTTAATTAAAGCATTCCTCGCTAAACTGCTTGTAATACTTTTTAATCTGTACCTGTACCAATTATTCCCGTACACAAAAAAGACTGTACATCTATGGTCACACTTCCGATGAATACATTGCTTAATCGAGCGTTCCTCAAGGCTCAATATTGATGCCGTTATTATTCAACATAATCGTTAATGATATTGGTAATGACATTGATGTCAGATCTATGAGGACGACGTAATTTTTTTTTAAATCCGGTATTGAAATTATTGTCTTACTCTAGTAGTTTGGAGCAAATCACCATGTTCTAACACTTTTTGGAGTAATATTCGACTCGAAATTATCCTTTGTTCCTTATGTTAATGCGCACAAGCAGAAGCCTCAAAAAACTATTGAGTTGTCGTACGTTGCACCAACTTCCACTTAAAAAATACAGAAGTGATAAAAATATTATATAACTCATACGTCAGTTCTAAGTTTAGTCTCATGGGTACAATTGTCATATTAATAGCCTGGAATAAAATCTACGTAAGTTTTTGAAGTATGGAGTAAATCCCACACAAGGCTTTTCGTGTACAATATTATTATGTGTCTCTTAGTGATCGCTATGATTACTATTATTTAATGCCTCTATATATATATATATATATATATATATATATATATATATATATATATATATATATATATATATATATATATATATATATATATATATATATATATATATTGATACTTGTTAAGTTGGGACTTCCGCTACGTGAAGCGGGCGGCCTAACATCCACTATTTTCGGGACGTATATTATAAAACTTTCGATGTATATATGATGAGGGGGGCTTAAATTTATGGTTTCGCATAAGAGGGGTAATTATTTTTCTTTTCAAAATTATTGGACATCAGACACTCTTTCTCACTTCTGCCATATACGACTCCGCGATGATGCCAAGTTTCTCATATATACAAGAAGTGACAAGATATGTTTTACTGTTAGACTGTATATTAAGGAAGTCACAATCAGTTAAGAGGTTCAGCTGTATATAGAATTCGCTCGATATTGCAAACGTAGTTCACCCAAAACTAAATCCGTTGCACGTTTGCGCGTCACGAATGGCTCCCAGTGCGTTTAAATTTAATTTGCTGGCGGTCGCTTTGTGACGTGCCGCGGATTTAGTTTTGGAAGAGCTACATATTTTTTAAAAAGATGTCAACTTTTGCTAAGATTTTATGAGAATACGACAAAACAGTAATAATTCTGACTGAGTTTACAATGAATTTTAGAAATGAAATAGTCACAAACTTTTTTAATATTTTTTGAGTATTATTTTGGTTTATTTAAATTTTTATTATCTAAAACTAAATAAAAAGGATGAGTATAATTATAAACTCTCTTTTTTATTGGTCGAGGTATTAGTTACACACACGAATAAACGCTTGCCCTGAAAACTCATTTTTATTTTATCGTTTACCTCGGTGTAACACGAAAACTATTTGGAGTCTGTTACTTTTTCAAAAACCCCAATCGGGTGGACCGTTTTTTTTTTAATTATCAGAATGTAAGCTATGTCGTCAATATCAAGGCCACCAGCCAAGCAGCTAGAAAGGGTCAGATTTGTGAGGACGGTCAGGCAATTAACAACTTAGCGGTTCCGGAGAGCGCTTAGGATCGTTTTTGCTTGTAGACCCTTTTTCGTAGCGAATATGATACACGTATTTTTCTCATAGTTGAATTTTTTGATTAATTACTTGTTACATAGGGATGGTACCGTTTTATTATATTTGACATTAGTAATTATTTGTATTATATTTTATTGGCAACACTTCATATTCAACTAATAATACATAAGTGTACATAGAAGCTAGAATAAAAACTAAAATTATATCTATGATAACACCTAAAATTAAGTAGAAGTAAAAAGTTAATCTTAAAAAAAAATCCTTCTTCCCATTCCAATCCAATATTAACGTATATCTTCGGCAAAAATAATAGGTTTTTGATTTATAAAGAAAATTGTCATTACGTTTTTTACTCTTCATTCAGTCTGAGTTTGTTTCAGTGTCCGATAAATTAGAGATATTTAGTGTTATTCAGGGATCATTTTTGTCTCGCTTATTGCTACATATTGATTTCACACATTTACAGGAACCAATACATTTCATAAATTTTCTTTTACAGGAACATAATGGTTCGTTACGGCTGAAATGTTTTGCCTAAATTAAAAAATCTTATTTAACAGAAAATTGAATGTCTCTGCCTTTTTTTACATCGACAGGTGTTTAGAACTGAGGTATCCTCTTGTAATATTGCTCCGGTTATCAGTACATGTGAAATTTTCCAACTCATCGTCAATTGTCTAGAGACAGTTACGTAATCGCTTTCTAAATAAATTTTAATTTCTTCTTGAGCGACGCTTATCCGTGTAAGATATTGAGTGACCACAAACGTGCATGGTTTCAACAAGTTTTTTATATATATAAATATTTTTTTCCATTTGAACTCGCAAAGATGATCGCTTGACAAATATTAAGTATTTCCGTTTCTTTGCTGGCATTATATGTCTCGCTGGAGACAAGAACACTAGTTAAAAAATATAAATTATTTGCTTTTTGTAATCCTTAATTTTTAAATTCTGCATTCTGTATGCCAATTATTTCCATTTTAATATTTTGGCAAATCTTCGTCATTCCTGGCGGACCAAAGGATAAATAGTTGGACGTTTCCGTTTTAGTGTGATGCACTACTGCTTCAATGGCTTGCTCCTTTATGTTAAGTTCCAGAATTTATTAAATAAAGCAAACAACTCAGACTCTTTTAATCAACTCCACTAAACATTTTGCAAACTCTGTTAACAATCTTGAAAAACTTCATAAAGCATCAAATTCAGTCCCATGTAGAAAAAAGTCTTGTGGGCTTTCAGTCGTCCTGTGACAAGTAAATTGCTGTGAGTGTTTAAAGCAAACTAACTTTAACAGAGTTGAGCGATTACAGAACTATTGCCCAAGACTAACATAAGGTATCCGAACATCTTACACGATATTTGCATTCTGCGACCTTATTTTTCATAATTATAAAAACCATATTCCAAAGTATTTGCAGCAAAGACCGCATTTTAGCATAGATGTATATACGTCAAACTGTCGTTTTCGGGC